ATACACACACTACAACCAAAAACAATGATCGTAACACAATCTGTTTTGTAATTCTTGTAAAAAAAAATTTCTTACATAATAATTCCTGGGAAATTATTTGAGACGAGTGAAATAGGGGAAATAGTCACTCTCTTAATATAAATATGTATAAATCTAGACATTTAATTATAAATGTCAAAACAAATACATAATTACTTTAGAATATAATGCCATTGCTTAACACTATTCGTGTTTACAAAATGTTTTTGTCTATAATCTGAATTTAATATATCGTCATCATAAATGCTTAAGTCTTACAGCATAATGAAAGTTTTTAAAATCAGAGTTGGTATAAAAGCACGCTTTTCGAAAGAATGGAAACATTCGGAATAACAGCCTACATTTAACAAAATATCGGTAACTACTGCTTCTTTGTGTTCTTTAAAGATCATTTTTTAACATAGTGATTGGTATTCACCACTGTCCGTTAACTTTAGGTCAATTATCCAACCCAGTGTATACCTAGGTGTGACATTAATGTCGCTCTACACAACTGTGGTGGTGAGGTGTGTGTGTGGGGGGGGGGGGGGATAACCAACTCAGAGTGAACATAGCGTCAGTTTTTAGATGACTGTTCTAAACATACATATATATTACACAAATATATATTACACAAATATATATTACAGAAATAGATTTAAATAAGTAGCAGTGGTATTATGACAATATTTTTTTTACAGAAGGGTCCATGGGGGAGGGGGTTGTAACTGTTTCATATAATTTGTAATCATAATCACTATCGCCCAAACTGTAAGAATACTACTACTTCATCGTGATGACGTAGTGAATTTCCCCACCACTACGCAGTTTGCTCATAAGTAAATTTAAATAGAGGTGCCACATCAGTTGTATTTGTTTCTGTATTGTAATTTTTTTAAATTTAATCACACGATTCAAACTGTATATATAAAGTAATTATGTGTGAAGTTTTATGTATAACATTTTCTAATTCAATTATTCGTAAGCAAATACATTATACAGTTGCCCTAAACTTTACATCCCTCTTGCCAAGTGGTACTACCGTAGAGGTTTTTTAAACATTGCAATGCATCGTAATGGTTATTTTTAGAATGGCAAACTGATGCAGCTGTTAATACGTGTTGTAAACGTAGACACTACTAGACTAGTACAATAATGCTTAATTGCTGCATGAAAAGAAATCTTGTGATTTACATAGATGTGCCGACCAAAAATGTTTTTTTAACAAATATCATTGTTTAAAACTTTGAGTTTAAAAAGTTTCGAAAAAGGCGCCACTTTGATGAAAATGGCCAGAGGGGGAGCGGCTGCTCCCCCTGCTCCCCCCCCCCTGCGTACGCTACTGATATATATATATATATATATATATATATATATATATATATATATATATATATATATATATATATATATATATATATATATATATATATATTCATGTGTATGCGAGTATTGTGTCGAGTTATTTTCTCCTAAGCATTAATTTATGCCAAAACATTTTATGTTTTATATATATATATATATATTATCTGTAAGTAAGTCCATAATTATGCAACTCCTTTTCAGCGCTTTTTTCGAGAAAAGGGATATAACCAAAGAATTTTAACCTCTAAAAATCTCATATGCTTATCCGAGTTGTATTTCTTTGATAATATATTAATCTTATTAAGTCTTTTTTTTTTGTTACCGTAATTTTGTAACGGTGTGTTATGAGGGGAGGGGGTGGGGGTTAGATGGTGTGATGTCACACTTTTGCATTATAAAAAAGCAGTGTTAGAAAACGAGTTTTAGCCGTTATTTCGCATTTTAGAAAACGGTTTTAATAAATTGTAACAGGAATTGATTAAAATACTCTTTGTTCACAGAGTTCTGACAAGATTTTGGAAAAATATCGATGTTTTAAGAAAAATTCAACAGCAATTTTGAGGGGGAGGGGGGGGGGTTGTAGGCTGAAGTGTGACGTCATTATAGGGGGGTCTGGCTTTTTGTGACGACGTGTGACGGAGGGGAGGGTGGGGAAGGTAAAAATCGTCAAAAAAGCGTGACGTCATTTATGGATGACCCCCTAGCAACTTTTTTTTATCTCCTTAATAAAAGATTGTAACAAATAAGCCAAAAAATGTCATTGAAAAATAATTTACAAGTTAATTGTTTTTTTAAATTAATGTTTATAATTTCATTAACTTGTCAGGCATATAGTAGTGGTTAAGTAAATCTATTTTTAAAAAATCCCACCTCTAGCTTTTCCTAAATATTTTGAAGGGTCATAGTAGCAACAACGCAGAATCAAGATTATCAATCATTCCGGCCACTGTTAAAATGAAAACAAAATATAAAAAATTATATTAAAAGGAATTTTAAAGTTGAATGGTTTTGAGATTTGACCAAGTATTTATAATTTTCTGTTTGTTTCAGTTCACATACTTCCTTTGCCAAACATTGTTTTAAATATTTTTGTATCCGCCTAAGCTTTAGTTATTAATTTATGAAAAGATAGAGAGCTCCTATATTTAAACTATATTAGTAGCATATAGATCTATATTTTTTCGGATGGTGTTTAATGAAGCCTATTATCTGTTTAAGGTGTAGAGCATTGGTTTGCAACTTAACATATCTAAGTTTGTTCAATTGTATTGCCTTTATAAATACCAGATTATAACTTATGCATTTTCGTTTTAAATAAAAATTAATTAACTTATTAAACTAAAGTTGAATTATCTAAGTAAAAAAAAAAAAGGATTTTTTAAAATGTATATTAATAATAAAATGAAAAAGGGCAAAAACTCTAGCCAAATATATAGTATAAACGTAAATTTACTGTTTATTTCCCTTTGACCACAAGAAACCCTACGAGGAGAAATAATTAAACAAGTATTCTTGAAAGCGGACAAGTTCAAATAGATCTACACAATGGTATGTGGGTCTTTAAATAAAATGACATAGCTGAGTACTAAGTTAAAATTCACTTAATGATACTGCCAGCAAAGAGTTTGTGATTTAATATTGTTGTAATATTTTTACAAATTCAAATTCTGAGTTAATTAGGGACCTACATTTTTATGAAGGGAATAATTTACACCGAAATTAAATGACAAAAAAGTTGAAAAAACAAAGAAATGAATAATTATTGCAATTTGTTATAGAAGTTAGGTAAAATTGGCGCTAGGACTAGGGCTATTAAACATTTTATGAATATTACCTGTAGAACTGTAGGCCTATAATACTGGAGACTAGTCTACATCACATCATAATCTATATATATAATTCTCTGCATGGATACCCTAGAAAACACCAAGCTGTAGGCGCGCCTAGCCGCCCCCTCTCTTCCTCTCTAAGCATATCCCTAGCACCCCCACATGGTCTGTTGAGCTGTGGTTCACGCTAAATGTTTACAAATCATAGAGCCGGGTTTAGTGACGGCTATTAGGGGCAGATAATTTCGTTTGAAACGATTTTAAACTTAGGGGAGGTAACTAAGAGGAGGCTGCTTTCAGGGGGGGGGGGGGGGGGTCGGGGTTGGGGGAAAGGAGAGGGGAAAGGAGGGTGGTGTATGTTCAACAGCTGGGTGCCCTCAGTCTTAGTTCAACCTACTGCTAGTGTTTTAAAGCAAATATTTTTAGTGGCAGCATTGGTACTGTCGAATTCACAAATTATGAATTACTGAAAAGTAGAAAAACAACAACTAAATAGCGGTGTATGATACGCCGCGGGTCGGCTCGTTAAATAATAATACGAGACCATCATTAGGTAAGTGGGCGATACAAGCAAACTGTTCACATATCATTTCCTCTTGTCCTGCTATGATCTGTCTCCAGATAGTGAAATTAATGATAATTTTAATGATAATGTTAATGAAAATGTCAATGACATGACATAATCATTAACATAAATTATGTTAATGATATTATTTATTGTAATGTCAATAATGTGTCAAGCCTATCAAAAGTGAGACGCATGGCCATAGGATGGGCCATAGAGTTTGTACACATATCATTTTTTAAACATAGTTAGATCTAGATCTAGATCTATAATATTGTCATATATGTTATGTAGATATTAATTAATAAGATATGGGGTCATCCGTAAGTGACGTCACGCTTTTTTGATGATTTTTACCTCCCCCCCCTCCCCTCCGTCACACCTCAGCCTACAACCCCCCCCCCCCCCCCCCCCTCAAAACTGCAGTTGAATTTGTTTTAAAACATCTAGATCTAGATCTATATTTTTCCAAAATTTTGTCTGAATCTGTCAAAATAGAGTATTTTAATCAATTCATATTACAATTTATTTAAAAAGTTTTCTAAAACGCGAAATAACATCTAAAATTCGTTTTCTAACATTGCTTTTTTATAATGCAAAAGTGTGACGTAGCACCATCTGAAACCCTCCCCCCCCTCCCCCTCATCACACACCATCACAAAATTACGAATTCCCCCTACGAGTGTGACGTCATTTATGGACAACCCCTGTAAAAGTAATCACAAATGGTAAAATAAACTAAAATGGTCACGTGGGTATGAACTTAATTACAAATGCTAGCTAAAATAAATTAAAATTGTTATGTAGATTCTAGGTCGGAAAGTAATTTCAAATGCTAAAATAAATTAAAATTGTCCTAAAATAAACTAAAATTGTCATGTAGGTATGAAAGTGACTTCAAAGCAAAGAATGAGCAGTACTATTGGGAGCCATGTCAAGATTTTACTATGGGAACAGTTAAAGCTGGGGTAAGTAACTCAGTCTTAGTTCAACAGCTGGGAGTGCCCTCAGTCTTAATTCAACAGCTGGGAGTGCCCTCAGTCTTAATTGTAGTCAACAGCTGGGTGTGCCCTCAGTCTTAGTTCAACAGCTGGGAGTGCCCTCAGTCTTAGTTCAACAGCTGGGAGTGCCCTCAGTCTTAGTTCTAGTCAACAGCTGGGGGTGCCCTCAGTCTTAATTCTAGTCAACAGCTGGGGGTGCCCTCAGTCTTAGTTCAACAGCTGGGAGTGCCCTCAGTCTTAGTTCAACAGCTGGGGGTGCCCTCAGTCTTAGTTCAACAGCTGGGGGTGCCCTCAGTCTTAGTTCAACAGCTGGGAGTGCCCTCAGTCTTAGTTCAACAGCTGGGAGTGCCCTCAGTCTTAGTTCAACATCTGGGAGTGCCCTCAGTCTTAGTTCAACAGCTGGGGGTGCCCTCAGTCTTAATTCAACAGCTGGGAGTGCCCTCAGTCTTAGTTCAACAGCTGGGAGTGCCCTCAGTCTTAGTTCAACAGCTGGGGGTGCCCTCAGTCTTAGTTCAACAGCTGGGAGTGCCCTCAGTCTTAGTTCAAGTCAACAGCTGGGAGTGCCCTCAGTCTTAGTTCAACAGCTGGGGGTGCCCTCAGTCTTAATTCAACAGCTGGGGGTGCCCTCAGTCTTAGTTCAACAGCTGGGGGTGCCCTCAGTCTTAGTTCAACAGCTGGGAGTGCCCTCAGTCTTAGTTCAACAGCTGGGAGTGCCCTCAGTCTTAGTTCAACAGCTGGGAGTGCCCTCAGTCTTAATTGTAGTCAACAGCTGGGGGTGCCCTCAGTCTTAATTCAACAGCTGGGAGTGCCCTCAGTCTTAGTTCAACAGCTGGGGGTGCCCTCAGTCTTAGTTCAACAGCTGGGAGTGCCCTCAGTCTTAATTCAACAGCTGGGGGTGCCCTCAGTCTTAGTTCTAGTCAACAGCTGGGGGTGCCCTCAGTCTTAGTTCAACAGCTGGGGGTGCCCTCAGTCTTAATTCAACAGCTGGGGGTGCCCTCAGTCTTAGTTCTAGTCAACAGCTGGGGGTGCCCTCAGTCTTAGTTCAACAGCTGGGGGTGCCCTCAGTCTTAATTCAACAGCTGGGGGTGCCCTCAGTCTTAGTTCTAGTCAACAGCTGGGGGTGCCCTCAGTCTTAATTCAACAGCTGGGGGTGCCCTCAGTCTTAATTCAACAGCTGGGAGTGCCCTCAGTCTTAGTTCTAGTCAACAGCTGGGGGTGCCCTCAGTCTTAATTCAACAGCTGGGAGTGCCCTCAGTCTTAGTTCAACAGCTGGGGGTGCCCTCAGTCTTAGTTCAACAGCTGGGAGTGCCCTCAGTCTTAGTTCAACAGCTGGGGGTGCCCTCAGTCTTAATTGTAGTCAACAGCTGGGGGTGCCCTCAGTCTTAGTTCAACAGCTGGGAGTGCCCTCAGTCTTAATTCAACAGCTGGGGGTGCCCTCAGTCTTAGTTCAACAGCTGGGGGTGCCCTCAGTCTTAATTGTAGTCAACAGCTGGGGGTGCCCTCAGTCTTAGTTCAACAGCTGGGAGTGCCCTCAGTCTTAGTTCAACAGCTGGGGGTGCCCTCAGTCTTAATTGTAGTCAACAGCTGGGGGTGCCCTCAGTCTTAATTCAACAGCTGGGGGTGCCCTCAGTCTTAGTTCAACAGCTGGGAGTGCCCTCAGCCTTAGATCAACAGCTGGGAGTGCCCTCAGTCTTAGTTCAACAGCTGGGAGTGCCCTCAGCCTTAGATCAACAGCTGGGAGTGCCCTCAGTCTTAGTTCAACAGCTGGGAGTGCCCTCAGTCTTAGTTCAACAGCTGGGAGTGCCCTCAGTCTTAGTTCAACAGCTGGGGGTGCCCTCAGTCTTAGTTCAACAGCTGGGAGTGCCCTCAGTCTTAGTTTAACAGCTGGGGGTGCCCTCAGTCTTAGTTCAACAGCTGGGGGTGCCCTCAGTCTTAGTTCAACAGCTGGGAGTGCCCTCAGTCTTAGTTCAACAGCTGGGAGTGCCCTCAGTCTTAATTCAACAGCTGGGGGTGCCCTCAGTCTTAGTTCAACAGCTGGGAGTGCCCTCAGTCTTAGTTCAACAGCTGGGAGTGCCCTCAGTCTTAGTTCAATTCAACAGCTGGGAGTGCCCTCAGTCTTAGTTCAACAGCTGGGGGTGCCCTCAGTCTTAATTCTAGTCAACAGCTGGGAGTGCCCTCAGTCTTAGTTCAACAGCTGGGGGTGCCCTCAGTCTTAGTTCAACAGCTGGGGGTGCCCTCAGTCTTAGTTCAACAGCTGGGAGTGCCCTCAGTCTTAGTTCAACAGCTGGGGGTGCCCTCAGTCTTAGTTCAACAGCTGGGAGTGCCCTCAGTCTTAGTTCAACAGCTGGGAGTGCCCTCAGTCTTAGTTCAACAGCTGGGGGTGCCCTCAGTCTTAATTCTAGTCAACAGCTGGGAGTGCCCTCAGTCTTAGTTCAACAGCTGGGGGTGCCCTCAGTCTTAGTTCAACAGCTGGGGGTGCCCTCAGTCTTAGTTCAACAGCTGGGGGTGCCCTCAGTCTTAGTTCAACAGCTGGGGGTGCCCTCAGTCTTAGTTCAACAGCTGGGAGTGCCCTCAGTCTTAGTTCAACAGCTGGGAGTGCCCTCAGTCTTAATTCAACAGCTGGGGGTGCCCTCAGTCTTAGTTCAACAGCTGGGAGTGCCCTCAGTCTTAGTTCAACAGCTGGGAGTACCCTCAGTCTTAATTCAACAGCTGGGGGTGCCCTCAGTCTTAGTTCAACAGCTGGGAGTGCCCTCAGTCTTAGTTCAACAGCTGGGAGTGCCCTCAGTCTTAGTTCAACAGCTGGGAGTGCCCTCAGTCTTAGTTCAATTCAACAGCTGGGAGTGCCCTCAGTCTTAATTCAACAGCTGGGGGTGCCCTCAGTCTTAATTCTAGTCAACAGCTGGGAGTGCCCTCAGTCTTAGTTCAACAGCTGGGGGTGCCCTCAGTCTTAATTCAACAGCTGGGGGTGCCCTCAGTCTTAATTCAAGTCAACAGCTGGGAGTGCCCTCAGTCTTAATTCAACAGCTGGGGGTGCCCTCAGTCTTAATTCAAGTCAACAGCTGGGGGTGCCCTCAGTCTTAATTCAACAGCTGGGGGTGCCCTCAGTCTTAATTCAAGTCAACAGCTGGGGGTGCCCTCAGTCTTAATTCAACAGCTGGGGGTGCCCTCAGTCTTAATTCAAGTCAACAGCTGGGAGTGCCCTCAGTCTTAGTTCAACAGCTGGGTGTGCCCTCAGTCTTAATTCAACAGCTGGGGGTGCCCTCAGTCTTAGTTCAACAGCTGGGAGTGCCCTCAGTCTTAATTCTAGTCAACAGCTGGGGGTGCCCTCAGTCTTAATTCTAGTCAACAGCTGGGGGTGCCCTCAGTCTTAGTTCAACAGCTGGGAGTGCCCTCAGTCTTAATTCAACAGCTGGGGGTGCCCTCAGTCTTAGTTCAACAGCTGGGGGTGCCCTCAGTCTTAATTCAACAGCTGGGGGTGCCCTCAGTCTTAATTCAAGTCAACAGCTGGGAGTGCCCTCAGTCTTAGTTCAACAGTTGGGTGTGCCCTCAGTCTTAATTCAACAGCTGGGGGTGCCCTCAGTCTTAGTTCAACAGCTGGGGGTGCCCTCAGTCTTAGTTCAACAGCTGGGGGTGCCCTCAGTCTTAATTCAACAGCTGGGGGTGCCCTCAGTCTTAATTCAAGTCAACAGCTGGGAGTGCCCTCAGTCTTAGTTCAACAGCTGGGTGTGCCCTCAGTCTTAATTCAACAGCTGGGGGTGCCCTCAGTCTTAATTCTAGTCAACAGCTGGGAGTGCCCTCAGTCTTAGTTCAACAGCTGGGGGTGCCCTCAGTCTTAGTTCAACAGCTGGGGGTGCCCTCAGTCTTAGTTCAACAGCTGGGAGTGCCCTCAGTCTTAGTTCAACAGCTGGGAGTGCCCTCAGTCTTAGTTCAACAGCTGGGAGTGCCCTCAGTCTTAATTGTAGTCAACAGCTGGGGGTGCCCTCAGTCTTAATTCAACAGCTGGGAGTGCCCTCAGTCTTAGTTCAACAGCTGGGGGTGCCCTCAGTCTTAGTTCAACAGCTGGGAGTGCCCTCAGTCTTAATTCAACAGCTGGGGGTGCCCTCAGTCTTAGTTCTAGTCAACAGCTGGGGGTGCCCTCAGTCTTAGTTCAACAGCTGGGGGTGCCCTCAGTCTTAATTCAACAGCTGGGGGTGCCCTCAGTCTTAGTTCTAGTCAACAGCTGGGGGTGCCCTCAGTCTTAGTTCAACAGCTGGGGGTGCCCTCAGTCTTAATTCAACAGCTGGGGGTGCCCTCAGTCTTAGTTCTAGTCAACAGCTGGGGGTGCCCTCAGTCTTAATTCAACAGCTGGGGGTGCCCTCAGTCTTAATTCAACAGCTGGGAGTGCCCTCAGTCTTAGTTCTAGTCAACAGCTGGGGGTGCCCTCAGTCTTAATTCAACAGCTGGGAGTGCCCTCAGTCTTAGTTCAACAGCTGGGGGTGCCCTCAGTCTTAGTTCAACAGCTGGGAGTGCCCTCAGTCTTAGTTCAACAGCTGGGGGTGCCCTCAGTCTTAATTGTAGTCAACAGCTGGGGGTGCCCTCAGTCTTAGTTCAACAGCTGGGAGTGCCCTCAGTCTTAATTCAACAGCTGGGGGTGCCCTCAGTCTTAGTTCAACAGCTGGGGGTGCCCTCAGTCTTAATTGTAGTCAACAGCTGGGGGTGCCCTCAGTCTTAGTTCAACAGCTGGGAGTGCCCTCAGTCTTAGTTCAACAGCTGGGGGTGCCCTCAGTCTTAATTGTAGTCAACAGCTGGGGGTGCCCTCAGTCTTAATTCAACAGCTGGGGGTGCCCTCAGTCTTAGTTCAACAGCTGGGAGTGCCCTCAGCCTTAGATCAACAGCTGGGAGTGCCCTCAGTCTTAGTTCAACAGCTGGGAGTGCCCTCAGCCTTAGATCAACAGCTGGGAGTGCCCTCAGTCTTAGTTCAACAGCTGGGAGTGCCCTCAGTCTTAGTTCAACAGCTGGGAGTGCCCTCAGTCTTAGTTCAACAGCTGGGGGTGCCCTCAGTCTTAGTTCAACAGCTGGGAGTGCCCTCAGTCTTAGTTTAACAGCTGGGGGTGCCCTCAGTCTTAGTTCAACAGCTGGGGGTGCCCTCAGTCTTAGTTCAACAGCTGGGAGTGCCCTCAGTCTTAGTTCAACAGCTGGGAGTGCCCTCAGTCTTAATTCAACAGCTGGGGGTGCCCTCAGTCTTAGTTCAACAGCTGGGAGTGCCCTCAGTCTTAGTTCAACAGCTGGGAGTGCCCTCAGTCTTAGTTCAATTCAACAGCTGGGAGTGCCCTCAGTCTTAGTTCAACAGCTGGGGGTGCCCTCAGTCTTAATTCTAGTCAACAGCTGGGAGTGCCCTCAGTCTTAGTTCAACAGCTGGGGGTGCCCTCAGTCTTAGTTCAACAGCTGGGGGTGCCCTCAGTCTTAGTTCAACAGCTGGGAGTGCCCTCAGTCTTAGTTCAACAGCTGGGGGTGCCCTCAGTCTTAGTTCAACAGCTGGGAGTGCCCTCAGTCTTAGTTCAACAGCTGGGAGTGCCCTCAGTCTTAGTTCAACAGCTGGGGGTGCCCTCAGTCTTAATTCTAGTCAACAGCTGGGAGTGCCCTCAGTCTTAGTTCAACAGCTGGGGGTGCCCTCAGTCTTAGTTCAACAGCTGGGGGTGCCCTCAGTCTTAGTTCAACAGCTGGGGGTGCCCTCAGTCTTAGTTCAACAGCTGGGGGTGCCCTCAGTCTTAGTTCAACAGCTGGGAGTGCCCTCAGTCTTAGTTCAACAGCTGGTAGTGCCCTCAGTCTTAATTCAACAGCTGGGGGTGCCCTCAGTCTTAGTTCAACAGCTGGGAGTGCCCTCAGTCTTAGTTCAACAGCTGGGAGTACCCTCAGTCTTAATTCAACAGCTGGGGGTGCCCTCAGTCTTAGTTCAACAGCTGGGAGTGCCCTCAGTCTTAGTTCAACAGCTGGGAGTGCCCTCAGTCTTAGTTCAACAGCTGGGAGTGCCCTCAGTCTTAGTTCAATTCAACAGCTGGGAGTGCCCTCAGTCTTAATTCAACAGCTGGGGGTGCCCTCAGTCTTAATTCTAGTCAACAGCTGGGAGTGCCCTCAGTCTTAGTTCAACAGCTGGGGGTGCCCTCAGTCTTAATTCAACAGCTGGGGGTGCCCTCAGTCTTAATTCAAGTCAACAGCTGGGAGTGCCCTCAGTCTTAATTCAACAGCTGGGGGTGCCCTCAGTCTTAATTCAAGTCAACAGCTGGGGGTGCCCTCAGTCTTAATTCAACAGCTGGGGGTGCCCTCAGTCTTAATTCAAGTCAACAGCTGGGGGTGCCCTCAGTCTTAATTCAACAGCTGGGGGTGCCCTCAGTCTTAATTCAAGTCAACAGCTGGGAGTGCCCTCAGTCTTAGTTCAACAGCTGGGTGTGCCCTCAGTCTTAATTCAACAGCTGGGGGTGCCCTCAGTCTTAGTTCAACAGCTGGGAGTGCCCTCAGTCTTAATTCTAGTCAACAGCTGGGGGTGCCCTCAGTCTTAATTCTAGTCAACAGCTGGGGGTGCCCTCAGTCTTAGTTCAACAGCTGGGAGTGCCCTCAGTCTTAATTCAACAGCTGGGGGTGCCCTCAGTCTTAGTTCAACAGCTGGGGGTGCCCTCAGTCTTAATTCAACAGCTGGGGGTGCCCTCAGTCTTAATTCAAGTCAACAGCTGGGAGTGCCCTCAGTCTTAGTTCAACAGCTGGGTGTGCCCTCAGTCTTAATTCAACAGCTGGGGGTGCCCTCAGTCTTAGTTCAACAGCTGGGGGTGCCCTCAGTCTTAGTTCAACAGCTGGGGGTGCCCTCAGTCTTAATTCAACAGCTGGGGGTGCCCTCAGTCTTAATTCAAGTCAACAGCTGGGAGTGCCCTCAGTCTTAGTTCAACAGCTGGGTGTGCCCTCAGTCTTAATTCAACAGCTGGGGGTGCCCTCAGTCTTAATTCAAGTCAACAGCTGGGAGTGCCCTCAGTCTTAGTTCAACAGCTGGGAGTGCCCTCAGTCTTAGTTCAACAGCTGGGGGTGCCCTCAGTCTTAGTTCAACAGCTGGGAGTGCCCTCAGTCTTAATTCTACAGCTGGGAGTGCCCTCAGTCTTAATTCAAGTCAACAGCTGGGAGTGCCCTCAGTCTTAGTTCAACAGCTGGGGGTGCCCTCAGTCTTAGTTCAACATCTGGGAGTGCCCTCAGTCTTAGTTTAAGTAAAATAAAACACTACATAAGTTGTAAGGTGAAAGATAGGCAAATCTTCAAACAACCTCCATGACTTATCGCTTATCTATTAAATAGTTTACTAGAGGTGCCAAAAAAAATATTAATTTGAATAGTTTTCTGTTAATTATTATTAAAATAAGGCATACCAAAGAATGACACAACTATAAAAAGAAATTTATTCAACATTATTATTATCAACAAAGAAACATAAGAATAAAACAAACACTAGAAACCACAACACCCATCAAACCTCACTGTTTAAATATTTTTGACAGTCTGGCTATAGCTGAATTACTCTTTTCATAATTTTTGACTGCTAGAAATGAGATAAAGATGTATTTAAACCACAATTATATCAGGCCCGAAACAAGTTAGAGTAAATTTTTGTATGATTTGTTGTCTCTCATATATATATTTCTGTTATGATGGTAGTGATGGTCAGTTCTGTGGCTGTGATTACTGTAATGAAGGTAGTGTTAGATGGTAGTGATGGTCAGTTCTGTGGCTGTGATTACTGTAATGAAGGTAGTGTTAGATGGTAGTGGTGGTCAGTTCTGTGGCTGTGAGTAATGTAATGAAGGTAGTGTTAGATGGTAGTGATGGTCAGTTCTGTGGCTGTGATTACTGTAATGAAGGTAGTGTTAGATGGTAGTGGTGGTCAGTTCTGTGGCTGTGAGTAATGTAATGAAGGTAGTGTTAGATGGTAGTGATGGTCAGTTCTGTGGCTGTGATTACTGTAATGAAGGTAGTGTTAGATGGTAGTGATGGTCAGTTCTGTGGCTGTGATTACTGTAATGAAGGTAGTGTTAGATGGTAGTGATGGTCAGTTCTGTGGCTGTGATTACTGTAATGAAGGTAGTGTTAGATGGTAGTGATGGTCAGTTCTGTGGCTGTGATTACTGTAATGAAGGTAGTGTTAGATGGTAGTGGTGGTCAGTTCTGTGGCTGTGATTACTGTAATGAAGGTAGTGTTAGATGGTAGTGATGGTCAGTTCTGTGGCTGTCAGTAATGTAATGAAGGTAGTGTTAGATGGTAGTGATGGTCAGTTCTGTGGCTGTGAGTAATGTAATGAAGGTAGTGTTAGATGGTAGTGATGGTCAGTTCTGTGGCTGTGATTACTGTAATGAAGGTAGTGTTAGATGGTAGTGATGGTCAGTTCTGTGGCTGTGATTACTGTAATGAAGGTAGTGTTAGATGGTAGTGATGGTCAGTTCTGTGGCTGTGAGTAATGTAATGAAGGTAGTGTTAGATGGTAGTGATGGTCAGTTCTGTGGCTGTGATTACTGTTAAGAGCTGTCAATTTCTCTGCCCAGGCTGTACAGGTCCAAGTCCCAGCCATGTATTACGACATTGGTGCCCACGTCAATGCTGGCAGTGCTGTGGACCAAGATGGCGTGCCACTCTTTTATATGGTGGCTGTTGATGGTCAAAGGTCAGTTCTAAAAATATTTTCTGATTTTTTTAAGGAGTCAAATTGTCAACATGTAGTCATCGATAAGTCAGTCCTGGTGAGGTGGTCAGTCCTGGTGAGGTGGTCAGTCCTGGTGAGGTGGTCAGTCCTGGTGAGGTGGTCCTGGTGAGGTGGTCCTGGTGAGGTGGTCAGTTCTGGTGAGGTGGTCCTGGTGAGGTGGTCAGTCCTGGTGAGGTGGTCAGTCCTGGTGAGGTGGTCCTGGTGAGGTGGTCAGTCCTGGTGAGGTGGTCAGTTCTGGTGAGGTGGTTAGTCCTGGTGAGGTGGTCAGTTCTGGTGAGGTGGTCAGTCCTGGTGAGGTGGTCAGTCCTGGTGAGGTGGTCAGTCCTGGTGAGGTGGTCAGTCCTGGTGAGGTGGTCAGTTCTGGTGAGGTGGTCAGTCCTGTTGAGGTGGTCAGTTCTGGTGAGGTGGTCAGAGGTGGTCAGTCCTGGTGAGGTGGTCAGTCCTGGTGAGGTGGTCAGTCCTGGTGAGGTGGTCAGTCCTGGTTAAGTGGTCAGTCCTGGTCAGGTGGTCCTGGTGAGGTGGTCAGAGGTGGTCAGTCCTGGTGAGGTGGTCAGTCCTGGTGAGGTGGTCAGTCCTGGTGAGGTGGTCAGTCCTGGTGAGGTGGTCCTGGTGAGGTGGTCAGTCCTGGTGAGGTGGTCAGTCCTGGTGAGGTGCTCCTGGTGAGGTGGTCAGTCCTGATGAGGTGGTCAGTCCTGGTGAGGTGGTCCTGGTGAGGTGGTCAGTCCTGGTGAGGTGGTCAGAGGTGGTCAGTCCTGGTGAGGTGGTCAGTCCTGGTGAGGTGGTCAGTCCTGGTGAGGTGGTCAGTCCTGGTGAGGTGGTCAGTCCTGGTGAGGTGGTCAGTCCTGGTGAGGTGGTCCTGGTGAGGTGGTCAGTCCTGGTGAGGTGGTCAGAGGTGGTCAGTCCTGGTGAGGTGGTCAGTCCTGGTGAGGTGGTCAGTCCTGGTGAGGTGGTCAGTCCTGGTGAGGTGGTCAGTCCTGGTGAGGTGGTCCTGGTGAGGTGGTCCTGGTGAGATGGTCAGTCCTGATGAGGTGGTCAGTCCTGGTGAGGTGGTCAGTCCTGGTGAGGTGGTCAGTCCTGGTGAGGTGGTCAGTCCTGGTGAGGTGGTCAGTTCTGGTGAGGTGGTCAGTCCTGGTGAGGTGGTCAGTCCTGGTGAGGTGGTCCTGGTGAGATGGTCAGTCCTGGTGAGGTGGTCAGTCCTGGTGAGGTGGTCAGTTCTGGTGAGGTGGTCAGTCCTGGTGAGGTGGTCCTGGTGAGGTGGTCCTGGTGAGATGGTCAGTCCTGGTGAGGTGGTCAGTTCTGGTGAGGTGGTCAGTCCTGGTCAGGTGGTCCTGGTGAGGTGGTCAGAGGTGGTCAGTCCTGGTGAGGTGGTCAGTCCTGGTGAGGTGGTCAGTCCTAGTGAGGTAGTCAGTCCTGGTGAGGTGGTCCTGGTGAGGTGTTCAGAGGTGGTCAGTCCTGGTGAGGTGTTCAGTCCTGCTGAGGTGGTCAGTCCTGGTGAGGTGGTCAGTCCTGGTGAGGTGGTCAGTCCTGTTGAGGTGGTCAGTCCTGGTGAGGTGGTCCTGGTGAGGTGGTCCTGGTGAGGTGGTCAGTCCTGGTGAGGTGGTCAGTTCTGGTGAGGTGGTCAGTCCTGGTGAGGTGGTCCTGGTGAGATGGTCAGTCCTGGTGAGGTGGTCAGTTCTGGTGAGGTGGTCAGTCCTGGTCAGGTGGTCCTGGTGAGGTGGTCAGAGGTGGTCAGTCCTGGTGAGGTGGTCAGTCCTGGTGAGGTGGTCAGTCCTGGTGAGGTGGTCAGTCCTAGTGAGGTAGTCAGTCCTGGTGAGGTGGTCCTGGTGAGGTGTTCAGAGGTGGTCAGTCCTGGTGAGGTGGTCAGTCCTGGTGAGGTGGTCAGTCCTGGTGAGGTGGTCAGTCCTGGTGAGGTGGTCAGTCCTGGTGAGGTGGTCAGTCCTGGTGAGGTGGTCAGTCCTGGTGAGGTGGTCAGAGGTGGTCAGTCCTGGTGAGGTGGTCAGTCCTGGTGAGGTGGTCAGTCCTGGTGAGGTGGTCAGTCCTGGTGAGGTGGTCAGTCCTGGTGAGGTGGTCAGTCCTGGTGAGGTGGTCAGTCCTGGTGAGGTGGTCAGTCCTGGTGAGGTGGTCCTGGTGAGATGGTCAGTCCTGGTGAGGTGGTCAGTCCTGGTGAGGTGGTCAGTCCTGGTGAGGTGGTCAGAGGTGGTCAGTCCTGGTGAGGTGGTCCTGGTGAGGTGGTCCTGGTGAGATGGTCAGTCCTGATGAGGTGGTCAGTCCTGGTGAGGTGGTCAGTCCTGGTGAGGTGGTCAGTCCTGGTGAGGTGGTCAGTCCTGGTGAGGTGGTCAGTTCTGGTGAGGTGGTCAGTCCTGGTGAGGTGGTCAGTCCTGGTGAGGTGGTCCTGGTGAGATGGTCAGTCCTGGTGAGGTGGTCAGTCCTGGTGAGGTGGTCAGTTCTGGTGAGGTGGTCAGTCCTGGTGAGGTGGTCCTGGTGAGGTGGTCCTGGTGAGATGGTCAGTCCTGGTGAGGTGGTCAGTTCTGGTGAGGTGGTCAGTCCTGGTCAGGTGGTCCTGGTGAGGTGGTCAGAGGTGGTCAGTCCTGGTGAGATGGTCAGTCCTGGTGAGGTGGTCAGTCCTAGTGAGGTAGTCAGTCCTGGTGAGGTGGTCCTGGTGAGGTGTTCAGAGGTGGTCAGTCCTTGTGAGGTGGTCAGTCCTGGTGAGGTGGTCAGTCCTGGTGAGGTGGTCAGTCCTGGTGAGGTGGTCAGTCCTGGTGAGGTGGTCAGTCCTGGTGAGGTGGTCAGTCCTGGTGAGGTGGTCAGTTCTGGTGAGGTGGTCAGTCCTGTTGAGGTGGTCAGTCCTGGTGAGGTGGTCCTGGTGAGATGGTCAGTCCTGGTGAGGTGGTCAGTCCTGGTGAGGTGGTCAGTTCTGGTGAGGTGGTCAGTCCTGGTGAGGTGGTCCTGGTGAGATGGTCAGTCCTGGTGAGGTGGTCAGTTCTGGTGAGGTGGTCAGTCCTGGTCAGGTGGTCCTGGTGAGGTGGTCAGAGGTGGTCAGTCCTGGTGAGGTGGTCAGTCCTGGTGAGGTGGTCAGTCCTGGTGAGGTGGTCAGTCCTAGTGAGGTAGTCAGTCCTGGTGAGGTGGTCCTGGTGAGGTGTTCAGAGGTGGTCAGTCCTGGTGAGGTGGTCAGTCCTGGTGAGGTGGTCAGTCCTGGTGAGGTGGTCAGTCCTGGTGAGGTGGTCCTGGTGAGGTGGTCCTGGTGAGGTGGTCAGTCCTGGTGAGGTGGTCAGAGGTGGGCAGTCCTGGTGAGGTGGTCAGTCCTGGTGAGGTGGTCCTGGTGAGGTGGTCAGTCCTGGTGAGGTGGTCAGAGGTGGTCAGTCCTGGTGAGGTGGTCAGTCCTGGTGAGGTGGTCAGAGGTGGTTAGTCCTGGTGAGGTGGTCAGTCCTGGTGAGGTGGTCAGAGGTGGTCAGTCCTGGTGAGGTGGTCAGTCCTGGTGAGGTGGTCAGTCCTGGTGAGGTGGTCAGTCCTGGTGAGGTGGTCAGTCCTGGTGAGGTGGTCAGTCCTAGTGAGGTGGTCAGTCCTGGTGAGGTGGTGCTATAAATTATAAACATTCACCTATTTATTTTCCCTCTAGAACAACATTTGTTCGTTGCATCTGTTCTGATGAGCTAAGTTTTCAGTTTGAGAAAGAAGATCCACAGACAAATTATGTGAGTATAGAATCCACAGACAAATTATGTGAGTATAGAATCCACGGACAAATTATATGAGTATAGAATTAACAGACAAATTATGTGAGTATAGAATCCACAGACAAATTATGTGAGTATAGAATCCACAGACAAATTATGAAAGTATAGAATCTACAGACAAATTATGTGAGTATAGAATCAACAGACAAATTATGTGAGTATAGAATCCACAGACAAATTATGAAAGTATAGAATCTACAGACAAATTATGTGAGTATAGAATCAACAGACAAATTATGTGAGTATAGAATCCACAGACAAATTATGAAAGTATAGAATCTACAGACAAATTATGTGAGTATAGAATCCACAGACAAATTATGTGAGTATAGAATCCACAGACAAATTATGAAAGTATAGAATCTACAGACAAATTATGTGAGTATAGAATCAATAGACAAATTATGTGAGTATAGAATCAACAGACAAATTATGTGAGTATAGAATCCACAGACAAATTATGAAAGTATAGAATCTACAGACAAATTATGTGAGTATAGAATCCACAGACAAATTATGAAAGTATAGAATCTACAGACAAATTATGTGAGTATAGAATCAATAGACAAATTATGTGAGTATAGAATCCACAGACAAATTATGTGAGTATAGAATCCACAGACAAATTATGTGAGTATAGAATCCACAGACAAATTATGAAAGTATAGAATCTACAGACAAATTATGTGAGTATAGAATCAATAGACAAATTATGTGAGTATAGAATCCACAGACAAATTATGTGAGTATAGAATCCACAGACAAATTATGTGAGTATAGAATCCACAGACAAGTTATATAAGCCTGTGTGAGTATAGAATCCATTGAGTTGATAGTTGGTCCAACAATTCAATAATTTAAAACAATATTTTAAAAAATCAACTGATTTATTTTATAACCAATACATGAATCAACTGATTTATTTTATAACCAATACATGAATCAACTGATTTATTTTATAACCAATACATGAATCAACTGATTTATTTTATAACCAATACATGAATCAACTGATTTATTTTATAACCAATACATGAATCAACTGATTTATTTTATAACCAATACATGAATCAACTGATTTATTTTATAACCAATACATGAATCAACTGATTTATTTTATAACCAATACATGAATCAACTGATTTATTTTATAACCAATACATGAATCAACTGATTTATTTTATAACCAATACATGAATCAACTGATTTATTTTATAACCAATACATGAATCAACTGATTTATTTTATAACCAATACATGAATCAACTGATTTATTTTATAACCAATACATGAATCAACTGATTTATTTTATAACCAATACATGAATCAACTGATTTATTTTATAACCAATACATGAATCAACTGATTTATTTTATAACCAATACATGAATCAACTGATTTATTTTATAACCAATACATGAATCAACTGATTTATTTTATAACCAATACATGAATCAACTGATTTATTTTATAACCAATACATGAATCAACTGATTTATTTTATAACCAATACATGAATCAACTGATTTATTTTATAACCAATACATGAATCAACTGATTTATTTTATAACCAATACATGAATCAACTGATTTATTTTATAACCAATACATGAATCAACTGATTTATTTTATAACCAATACATGAATCAACTGATTTATTTTATAACCAATACATGAATCAACTGATTTATTTTATAACCAATACATGAATCAACTGATTTATTTTATAACCAATACATGAATCAACTGATTTATTTTATAACCAATACATGAATCAACTGATTTATTTTATAACCAATACATGAATCAACTGATTTATTTTATAACCAATACATGAATCAACTGATTTATTTTATAACCAATACATGAATCAACTGATTTATTTTATAACCAATACATGAATCAACTGATTTATTTTATAACCAATACATGAATCAACTGATTTATTTTATAACCAATACATGAATCAACTGATTTATTTTATAACCAATACATGAATCAACTGATTTATTTTATAACCAATACATGAATCAACTGATTTATTTTATAACCAATACATGAATCAACTGATTTATTTTATAACCAATACATGAATCAACTGATTTATTTTATAACCAATACATGAATCAACTGATTTATTTTATAACCAATACATGCTAATGTTTGGAAATTTGTTTTGAACATTACACCAATGGGAGGCAAATATTTTAAATTAGTCTTCAATTAAAAACAAACAGTAAATAGGCCTATAAACCAAACGCTATTCCTAATTTCATAAAAGTTTTGTAGTGTATATGTATGTGGGGTTTAAACTATTTCTTTCATTTCCCCAGCACTTCACGCTCAAGGCCAAAAACTGCTGTCCTGGACATTCTGACAGTGGTGGGTCATCAAGTTTGTCTGTTGGATCTATTTTGGTCATTGTGTAAGTCCTTGAGATCTCAGCTGGTGGAGTTATAGACTAGAGACATCTCAGCTGGTAGAGTTATAGACTAGAGACATCTCAGCTGGTAGAGTCATAGACTAGAGACATCTCAGCTGGTAGAGTTATAGACTAGAGACATCTCAGCTGGTAGAGTTATAGACTAGAGACATCTCAGCTGGTAGAGTTATAGACTAGAGACATCTCAGCTGGTAGAGTTATAGACTAGAGACATCTCAGGTGGTAGAGTTATAGACATCTCAGCTGGTAGAGTTATAGACTAGAGACATCTCAGTTGGTAGAGTTATAGACATCTCAGCTGGTAGAGTTATAGACATCTCAGCTGGTAGCGTTATAGACATCTCAGCTGGTAGAGTTATAGACTAGAGACATCTCAGCTGGTAGAGTTATAGACTAGAGACATCTCAGTTGGTAGAGTAATAGACACCTCAGCTGGTAGAGTTATAGACATCTCAGCTGGTAGAGTTATAGACATCTCAGCTGGTAGAGTTATAGACATCTCAGCTGGTAGAGTTATAGACTAGACACATCTCAGCTGGTAGAGTTATAGACATCTCAGCTGGTAGAGTTATAGACTAGAGACATCTCAGTTGGTAGAGTTATAGACATCTCAGCTGGTAGAGTTATAGACATCTCAGCTGGTAGAGTTATAGACTAGACACATCTCAGCTGGTAGAGTTATAGACATCTCAGCTGGTAGAGTTATAGACTAGAGACATCTCAGCTGGTAGAGTTATAGACATCTCAGCTGGTAGAGTTATAGACTAGAGACATCTCAGCTGGTAGAGTTATAGACTAGAGACATCTCAGCTGGTAGAGTTATAGACTAGAGACATTTCAGCTGGTAGAGTTATAGACTAGAGACATCTCAGCTGGTAGAGTTATAGACTAGAGACATTTCAGCTGGTAGAGTTATAGACTAGAGACATCTCAGCTGGTAGAGTTATAGACTAGAGACATCTCAGCTGGTAGAGTTATAGACTAGAGACATCTCAGCTGGTAGAGTTATAGACATCTCAGCTGGTAGAGTTATAGACTAGAGACATCTCAGCTGGTAGAGTTATAGACTAGAGACATCTCAGCTGGTAGAGTTATAGACTAGAGACATCTCAGCTGGTAGAGTTATAGACATCTCAGCTGGTAGAGTTATAGACTAGACACATCTCAGCTGGTAGAGTTATAGACTAGAGACATCTCAGCTGGTAGAGTTATAGACTAGAGACATCTCAGGTGGTAGAGTTATAGACTAGAGACATCTCAGCTGGTAGAGTTATAGACTAGAGACATCTCAGCTGGTAGAGTTATAGACATCTCAGCTGGTAGAGTTATAGACATCTCAGCTGGTAGAGTTATAGACTAGAGACATCTCAGCTGGTAGAGTTATAGACATCTCAGCTGGTAGAGTTATAGACTAGAGAAATCTCAGCTGGTAGAGTTATAGACATCTCAGCTGGTAGAGTTATAGACATCTCAGCTGGTAGAGTTATAGACATCTCAGCTGGTAGAGTTATAGACATCTCAGCTGGTAGAGTTATAGACATCTCAGCTGGTAGAGTTATAGACATCTCAGCTGGTAGACTTATAGACTAGAGACATCTCAGCTGGTAGAGTTATAGACATCTCAGCTGGTAGAGTTATAGACTAGAGAAATCTCAGCTGGTAGAGTTATAGACATCTCAGCTGGTAGAGTTATAGACTAGAGACATCTCAGCTGGTAGAGTTATAGACATCTCAGCTGGTAGAGTTATAGACATCTCAGCTGGTAGAGTTATAGACTAGAGACATCTCAGCTGGTAGAGTTATAGACATCTCAGCTGGTAGGGTTATAGACATCTCAGCTGGTAGAGTTATAGACTAGAGACATCTCAGCTGGTAGAGTCATAGACTAGAGACATCTCAGCTGGTAGAGTTATAGACTAGAGACATCTCAGCTGGTAGAGTTATAGACATCTCAGCTGGTAGAGTTATAGACTAGACACATCTCAGCTGGTAGAGTTATAGACTAGAGACATCTCAGCTGGTAGAGTTATAGACATCTCAGCTGGTAGAGTTATAGACTAGAGACATCTCAGCTGGTAGAGTTATAGACTAGAGACATCTCAGCTGGTAGAGTTATAGACTAGAGACATCTCAGCTGGTAGAGTTATAGACTACCTGATGTTTTTTCTAACTTTTCTCTCTGCCGTGTTTTAGGTTTTTCTCTTTGTTGGTTTGCTACCTTCTGCTGGGCATCATCTACCAGAGCAGCATCAGGAAGGCTAGTGGCAGGGAGATCATTCCTAATGCTGGACTTTGGTTGGCCATACCTGGTTTAATTAAGGTCAGTATTTGCTTGCCAGTGGACACAATAGTTTTCTTGGTTGGCTAATCCAAAGGCTAGTCAGAAGAAATAGTTCAGTAGTTGATATAAATGATTTCACAAGATTCAATGGTTGTTGCTTCAGTAGACCATTTGCCAGCATCTACAGTTGGAATACCAGAAATTGTTATGAAATATTGTTAGTCTGCAATTAAATAGAAATCACCTTTTCTCACATCACCTCCCCCCTCCCCACACACTAACTAGCACCATTAAACTCCCACCTATCAGTGTTTTAAATATTTTATTTTGTGTGCCATTATTTAACCTGACATGGTTTATAAAGAGTACACCACCAAGTTAACTGAGCTGTCCATGAATAGGTTTTATCCTCTCTTTTAGGATGGTGTTCTGTTCAGCTTTACTTGTGGGAAAAAATCCAGTTACAGCAGTATATGATCTCAATGGGACTAACAAGGGAGGAAACTTTAGGGATTTACTTCCCTTGTGTTTTAGGTCTGCATAATAGGATCTGTCTAGTCAATGATATTAATGTAATGAGTGCTGCTAAATTATTTATTCATGACATGCAAGTTCTGTACATTGACATGTGACTATTGTGAATGTAGGCTTGTGACAATTGTTTGGGTTTGTGACTATTGTGGTTAGGGTTGTGACAGTTGTGCATATAGGAAAAAATGTTACAACAAATTATATGAATGAGTTTTGTAGCATGAAAGTTGGGTACATTGACATGTTGTGTTTGACAATGTGTATTGATTAAAATAAAACCAGGATGTTGTGTCGTTGCTTTCTGGTCTAAAAACATTTGGTTATTGTGGTCGGCACTGAGCCTCGTCTGGTCAGTGCTGTTGTAAAGTGCACCTGGTCAGTGCTGTTGTAGAGTGCACCTGGTCAGTGCTGTCGTAGAGTGCACCTGGTCAGTTCTGTTGTAGAGTGCACCTGGTCAGTGCTGTCGTAGAGTGCACCTGGTCAGTTCTGTTGTAGAGTGCACCTGGTCAGTGCTGTCGTAGAGTGCACCTGGTCAGTTCTGTCGTAGAGTGCACCTGGTCAGTGCTGTTGTAGAGTGCACCTGGTCAGTGCTGTTGTAGAGTGCACCTGGTCAGTGCTGTTGTAAAGTGCACCTGGTCAGTGCTGTTGTAGAGTGCACCTGGTCAGTGCTGTTGTAGAGTGCACCTGGTCAGTGCTGTTGTAGAGTGCACCTGGTCAGTGCTGTTGTAGAGTGCACCTGGTCAGTGCTGTTGTAGAGTGCACCTGGTCAGTGCTGTTGTAAAGTGCACCTGGTCAGTGCTGTTGTAGAGTGCACCTGGTCAGTGCTGTTGTAGAGTGCACCTGGTCAGTGCTGTTGTAGAGTGCACCTTGTCAGTGCTGTCATAGAGTGCACCTGGTCAGTGCTGTCGTAGAGTGCACCTGGTCAGTGCTGTTGTAAAGTGCACCTGGTCAGTGCTGTCGAAGAGTGCACCAGGTCAGTGCTATTGTAAAGTGCACCTAGTTAGTGCTGTTGTAGAGTGCACCTGGTCAGTGATGTTGTTGTTCATATAGTTACTTCAACATAAAAAACAATTACTACAGTAATCATCAATTGTTTTCAATAAAAATGATTTTATTGTGACTTTTAAGCAAAGAGTCCACTCCTGTAAGATACATATTGGTAAAATATTTGTCATTCATATTCACAAGGATAGAAACTATTTGACTAGATCTACCAATCTTTGATCTAGAGTTCATTTATCATATTATTTACATAAAATAATCACATACAAAAGCAATGTTTATTATGTATAGAAATAAAATGTATGCTCTCAGTGTTAAAAAAACAGCAGGTATATATGTAGTCTGTATTGCACTAACACAACATAGCATCAGATAGAATTTCTTCTCTACACAAGTTTTGTACATCATTACAAAGAGAGGAGGCAAGTCAGACAACTGCACACATGGGTAACATCCCTTACAAGTTCTACATCCATAGTACTGGATCAGCACATAGCCCTAGAGGTGCTTGGGGTGGCACACAACACTAGCTTGATGATGATGGGTTGCTCAATCCAACACAAGAATTACTTGTTAAATAACAAATATAAAGATACACCAACCAAACAATTCAAGTAACAAATCTAAAGATACAATCACACCAACAAAACAATTCAAGTAACAAATCTAAAGATACAATCACATCAACAAAACAATTCAAGTAACAAATCTAAAGATACAATCACATCAACAAAACAATTCAAGTAACAAATCTAAAGATACAATCACACCAAGAAAACAATTCAAGTAACAAATCTAAAGATACAATCACACCAAGAAAACAATTCAAGTAACAAATCTAAAGATACAATCACATCAACAAAACAATTCAAGTAACAAATCTAAAGATACAATCACACCAACAAAACAATTCAAGTAACAAATCTAAAGATACAATCACACCAACAAAACAATTCAAGTAACAAATCTAAAGATACAATCACACCAACAAAACAATTCAAGTAACAAATCTAAAGATACAATCACACCAACAAAACAATTCAAGTAACAAATCTAAAGATACAATCACACCAACAAAACAATTCAAGTAACAAATCTAAAGATACAATCACACCAACAAAACAATTCAAGTAACAAATCTAAAGATACAATCACACCAACAAAACAATTCAAGTAACAAATCTAAAGATACAATCACACCAACAAAACAATTCAAGTAACAAATCTAAAGATACAATCACACCAACAAAACAATTCAAGTAACAAATCTAAAGATACAATCACACCAACAAAACAATTCAAGTAACAAATCTAAAGATACAATCACACCAACAAAACAATTCAAGTAACAAATCTAAAGATACAATCACACCAACAAAACAATTCAAGTAACAAATCTAAAGATACAATCACATCAACAAAACAATTCAAGTAACAAATCTAAAGATACAATCACACCAACAAAACAATTCAAGTAACAAATCTACAGATAAAATTTTCCTTGAGTACAGTCTGGTACAAAAGTCAACAATTTTGTATTTGTTAGATTATATATAATATATTTATATACATATAAATATATGTAATTGTGAACCAACACATGTACTACAGCCACCCACTAGTATATAACAAGTATATAATGTAAAGAACAAGTAAACAGTGCCAGTAAATGAAAAAAAACTATCTACATCAACACAAGTCCCACACATGGAAATAAAAACCGTCAGCCTATGTGACATTTGCATAAAATCCTTCACAGTTTAGATAAGTCAGGGGTGCTTTCCCTTAGTGTCTCATTGTTTAGAAAGGTCAGGGGTGCTTTCCCTTAGTGTCTCATTGTTTAGAAAGGTCAGGAGTGCTCCCCCTTAGCCTCTCATTGTTAATCCATGCTTGCAGGTTCCTGTTGCCAGGGGCAACAACAGGTTGCAGCTGGTCCCAGGCTGACAGTCTCTGCCTGCCTGCAGTATCGGCAGCGCAGGCCTTGGAGAGGGCAAAGAGATGATCCAAGTCTTCAGTGCCCCCCACAGTGTGGCGCCTCCTGCGACTGGTCACCTTTCTATTCTCCTTATTGCTTTGCCTGGACTCAGCAGTGTCCCCTAGATAAAAGCTCTCACCTCCCTTCCCTGACTTCCCCGCCGCCCTGTGCTCTGTTCTAGAGCTTTTAGCAGCGCTGGTATCAAGTTTTTTAGGTGCAGTTAGAACTATGGGCCGCACATAGGCTGAGTGAGACTTGCTGAGAAAAGACCTGAAGTCTGGCAGCTGACTTGGCCTCTGCTGGATGCTGCTGTCCTGGCCTCTTGTGCCAGAATCATTTCTCTCAAAGCGGGAGGCGATCCCAATCTTGGGGTCTGACTTGGCTGACCGGTGCAGACTGGGGTCCCTGAAGGACCTGTCCCCATCCAGCAGGGCGGCCACTGTGTAGGCTGGGGGAGGGAGACTAGACTTGGCCCTCAACTGCTCAGCCCTGGCCACCTCCTCGCTGGCCCTGGCCACCTTCCTGCTGGCCCCAGTCAGCTTGTACTTGGGGTTGAGGAGAATCTGCAGCTTCTGGTCAAATGTAGTTGTGATGCTGGTCAGCAGGTCCGAGCCATCCTCAGAGTCAGAGGACGCCCACGAGGCTCGCTTGTCTTGTTTGTCTATCATGTCAATCAGAGAGTCCAAGGAGCCATGGCGCCTGCTGTAGCGCAGGGAGGGTGGGCGTGTTGAAGGCCTGTCACCTGAGACAGCCAGGTGCAGGCTGCGCTGTTGGCTTTCATTAAGTGTGCGCTGGTTGAGTGGTCGCAGCACAACAGACCTCAAGGCCTCAGATCTGGCAGTTTTTGATGTGGACAAGACATCCTCGTGTGAGCCCACTCTGGGCATCTGCTGCACCGTCTTGTCATTTATTGTCACAACAACTGGCGACACTTGACCAGCTGACGTGGCTTTTGAGCCATCTTTCCTCTCACCACTGCGGCCCTCCTCATAAGGGTAAGTTTGGCCCAGATAAGAGCTGGAGACCAGGTCAGGCATGCGCGAGGCCCCCCCCTTCCAGGCCAGCCAGTCGTCCACACTGTGGCTGTCCTCCAGCTCCAGCTCCAGCTGTGTGCGCAGGTGCTCACGCTCTATCAGCTCCTGATCCCTCCGCCTCCTCTCCCTCTCCTTTAGCTGTTTTTGTTCAAACGTGTGCAACAGAGCGCTGACATCATTGCCTATTCTCTTCAGAGTGTTGTGTATGGCATCACGACTCAGGCTAGTGGGCAGTCCATGAGAAATTTCCAGCTCATCATTTTTGTCCACTAGAGAATCATGGGAAAAATGTCTGGGAAAACTGGGGCTCCCTGCGTCAGCATACTCCAACTCCATCAAGTCAGGCTCAGAGTTGGCTATAGGTGCTGTGCTGTGCAGTTCCAAGTAACCAGGAACTGCTGATTTACGCTCCAAAAACTCCTCTGATGCACTGCGGGAGGAGGCAATGGATGAAAGAGATTTGGTGAAGGCCAGATAGGATGAGTCATCAATGTTGTAGGTGGCAGAGCTGGTAATGCTGCAGCTGTCTGTTGTGTCCAGAGAGTCGTTGCTCTTGCCCTGTTGGCTGCGCAGCTTTTTACTGGCTGCACCCACAATGGAAGAAATGATTTGCTTGGCACTAATGGCAGAGTCAGCTTCTTCTGGAATAGTGCAAGACAAGAGGCAATGAGTGGGTCTAGAGGCAATGAGTGGGTCTAGAGGCAATGAGTGGGTCTAGAGGCAATGAGTGGGTCTAGAGGCAATGAGTGGGTCTAGAGGCAATGAGTGGGTCTAGAGCAAGACAAGAGGCAATGAGTGGGTCTAGAGCAAGACAAGAGGCAATGAGTGGGTCTAGAGGCAATGAGTGGGTCTAGAGGCAATGAGTGGGTCTAGAGGCAATGAGTGGGTCTAGAGGCAATGAGTGGGTCTAGAGCAAGACAAGAGGCAATGAGTGGGTCTAGAGCAAGACTAGAGGCAATGAGTGGGTCTAGAGGCAATGAGTGGGTCTAGAGCAAGACAAGAGGCAATGAGTGGGTCTAGAGCAAGACAAGAGGCAATGAGTGGGTCTAGAGGCAATGAGTGGGTCTAGAGGCAATGAGTGGGTCTAGAGGCAATGAGTGGGTCTAGAGGCAATGAGTGGGTCTAGAGCAAGACAAGAGGCAATGAGTGGGTCTAGAGCAAGACTAGAGGCAATGAGTGGGTCTAGAGGCAATGAGTGGGTCTAGAGCAAGACAAGAGGCAATGAGTGGGTCTAGAGCAAGACAAGAGGCAATGAGTGGGTCTAGAGGCAATGAGTGGGTCTAGAGGCAATGAGTGGGTCTAGAGCAAGACAAGAGGCAATGAGTGGGTCTAGAGGCAATGAGTGGGTCTAGAGGCAATGAGTGGGTCTAGAGGCAATGAGTGTGTCTAGAGCAAGACAAGAGGCAATGAGTGGGTCTAGAGGCAATGAGTGGGTCTAGAGGCAATGAGTGGGTCTAGAGGCAATGAGTGTGTCTAGAGCAAGACAAGAGGCAATGAGTGGGTCTAGAGGCAATGAGTGGGTCTAGAGCAAGACAAGAGGCAATGAGTGGGTCTAGAGGCAATGAGTGGGTCTAGAGGCAATGAGTGGGTCTAGAGGCAATGAGTGGGTCTAGAGCAAGACAAGAGGCAATGAGTGGGTCTAGAGCAAGACAAGAGGCAATGAGTGGGTCTAGAGGCAATGAGTGGGTCTAGAGGCAATGAGTGGGTCTAGAGGCAATGAGTGGGTCTAGAGGCAATGAGTGGGTCTAGAGCAAGACAAGAGGCAATGAGTGGGTCTAGAGGCAATGAGTGGGTCTAGAGCAAGACTAGAGGCAATGAGTGTGTCTAGAGGCAATGAGTGGGTCTAGAGGCAATGAGTGGGTTTAGAGGCAATGAGTGGGTCTAGAGCAAGACAAGAGGCAATGAGTGGGACTAGAGGCAATGAGTGGGTCTAGAGGCAATGAGTGGGTCTAGAGGCAATGAGTGGGTCTAGAGGCAATGAGTGGGTCTAGAGGCAATGAGTGGGTCTAGAGGCAATGAGTGGGTCTAGAGGCAATGAGTGGGTCTAGAGGCAATGAGTGGGTCTAGAGGCAATGAGTGGGTCTAGAGCAAGACAAGAGGCAATGAGTGGGACTAGAGGCAATGAGTGGGTCTAGAGGCAATGAGTGGGTCTAGAGGCAATGAGTGTGTCTAGAGCAAGACAAGAGGCAATGAGTGGGACTAGAGGCAATGAGTGGGTCTAGAGGCAATGAGTGGGTCTAGAGCAAGACAAGAGGCAATGAGTGGGTCTAGAGGCAATGAGTGGGTCTAGAGCAAGACAAGAGGCAATGAGTGGGTCTAGAGGCAATGAGTGGGTCTAGAGGCAATGAGTGGGTCTAGAGGCAATGAGTGGGTCTAGAGGCAATGAGTGGGTCTAGAGGCAATGAGTGGGTCTAGAGCAAGACTAGAGGCAATGAGTGGGTCTAGAGGCAATGAGTGGGTCTAGAGCAAGACAAGAGGCAATGAGTGGGTCTAGAGGCAATGAGTGGGTCTAGAGGCAATGAGTGGGTCTAGAGGCAATGAGTGGGTCTAGAGCAAGACAAGAGGCAATGAGTGGGTCTAGAGCAAGACAAGAGGCAATGAGTGGGTCTAGAGGCAATGAGTGGGTCTAGAGCAAGACAAGAGGCAATGAGTGGGTCTAGAGCAAGACAAGAGGCAATGAGTGGGTCTAGAGGCAATGAGTGGGTCTAGAGCAAGACAAGAGGCAATGAGTGGGTCTAGAGCAAGACAAGAGGCAATGAGTGGGTCTAGAGGCAATGAGTGGGTCTAGAGCAAGACAAGAGGCAATGAGTGTGTCTAGAGGCAATGAGTGGGTCTAGAGGCAATGAGTGGGTCTAGAGGCAATGAGTGGGTCTAGAGGCAATGAGTGGGTCTAGAGGCAATGAGTGGGTCTAGAGGCAATGAGTGGGTCTAGAGGCAATGAGTGGGTCTAGAGGCAATGAGTGGGTCTAGAGGCAATGAGTGGGTCTAGAGGCAATGAGTGGGTCTAGAGGCAATGAGTGGGTCTAGAGGCAATGAGTGGGTCTAGAGCAAGACAAGAGGCAATGAGTGGGACTAGAGGCAATGAGTGGGTCTAGAGGCAATGAGTGGGTCTAGAGCAAGACAAGAGGCAATGAGTGGGACTAGAGGCAATGAGTGGGTCTAGAGGCAATGAGTGGGTCTAGAGGCAATGAGTGTGTCTAGAGCAAGACAAGAGGCAATGAGTGGGTCTAGAGGCAATGAGTGGGTCTAGAGCAAGACAAGAGGCAATGAGTGGGTCTAGAGGCAATGAGTGGGTCTAGAGGCAATGAGTGGGTCTAGAGGCAATGAGTGGGTCTAGAGGCAATGAGTGGGTCTAGTGCAAGACAAGAGGCAATGAGTGGGTCTAGAGCAAGACTAGAGGCAATGAGTGTGTCTAGAGGCAATGAGTGGGTCTAGAGGCAATGAGTGTGTCTAGAGCAAGACAAGAGGCAATGAGTGGGTCTAGAGGCAATGAGTGGGTCTAGAGGCAATGAGTGGGTCTAGAGCAAGACAAGAGGCAATGAGTGGGTCTAGAGGCAATGAGTGGGTCTAGAGGCAAGATTTAGAAGAAAGTGTACCATCGTCGTCTCGAGAAAGTGTTTGCCCATCCTCCACATTAACAGTCTCAACAGTAGTCTCCATGGGGATATAGTTATCCTGGTCCCAGGTACTGAAGAACCACTCGTGCTGAAATTAAAATCAAACCTTCAGGTATAACATCAGCATGTCCCTAGACAATTCTGCCAAACTGTCACTAAATCTATGAATCTATTCCTGCACCAAGAACAATCTATTCCTGCACCAAGAACAATCTATTCCTGCACCAAGAACAATCTATTCCTGCAGCAAGAACAATCTATTCCTGCACCAAGAACAATCTATTCCTGCAGCAAGAACAATCTATTCCTGCACCAAGAACAATCTATTCCTGCAGCAAGAACAATCTATTCCTGCACCAAGAACAATCTATTCCTGCAGCAAGAACAATCTATTCCTGCAGCAAGAACAATCTATTCCTGCACCAAGAACAATCTATTCCTGCAGCAAGAACAATCTATTCCTGCACCAAGAACCTTGCAGTGTACTTACATGGAGAATGATACTTTCCACTATACGACACTGGTCTGACATATCTGTTACCAAGGAGACAGTATCATCACCTTTCTTTCGTACTAGTGTTGGACCAAACATTATAGCCAAATTTTTAGCATCCATCTGAAAGAAACAATAGTATCAATTAATGTCTTAACCAGCTGTGTATCTAAAACAGATGTCATAAAATGTGTCTTAACCAGCAGTCAAGGAGTTTCAAGTGTGTTCTTTGCTTTCAGTATCTAGTGGTCTACACAATTCTGGTGCTCACAGTCAGCTGATCTACCATACTGACATCTGAAAGAAGAACCTACTTGAATGATGTCTGAAAGAAGAACCTACTTGAATGATGTCTGAAAGAAGAACCTACTTGAATGATGTCTGAAAGAAGAACCTACTTGAATGATGTCTGAAAGAAGAACCTAGTTGAATGATGTCTGAAAGAAGAACCTACTTGAATGATGTCTGAAAGAAGAACCTACTTGAATGATGTCTGAAAGAAGAACCTACTTGAATGATGTCTGAAAGAAGAACCTAGTTGAATGATGTCTGAAAGAAGAACCTACTTGAATGATGTCTGAAAGAAGAACCTACTTGAATGATGTCTGAAAGAAGAACCTACTTGAATGATGTCTGAAAGAAGAACCTACTTGAATGATGTCTGAAAGAAGAACCTACTTGAATGATGTCTGAAAGAAGAACCTACTTTATTAATGTTTCCATATGAAGCGACTTTATTCAAATGTTCTGCCATATGCTTAAGGGTCTCGTTGTTATGTGGTGGCAGCAAATGAAGAAGTCGTTTTATTTTTAGTTTTCTTTTGTCTTCATCAGGATGGCGATTAGCTTCGATGAAAGCATCATACATGTCTTTTAGAAAAGGAAGAGAAAAACATAGTTTATCCTTTTGTTCTGGTTATCCACACTTGAAATAATATAGTACATCACTGTAGAAAAACTAACAGCAACTTTGAGTTATAAAAAGTTATAAAACAATTAAATTGTAAGACATATTTAAATGAAAAAAAAAACCACAATAGAAATGCAAATAGAGTAGCCTCTCTATGGTTTTGAGCTATACAGTCTTCTTCTTCTTCGTTCTTAATTATTAGTGTTGAAGGGGATCGAGATTTATCTGCCAGTGGGTTTGAACTCGAGACTGTTCGAATTTATCAACCATGAGCTTTTTGCCGACTCGACCACGCCTCCAACACAATTAAGCGTTACGTGTCAACTGGTTATGCGCCATTGACTGAGGCCATTGACTCCGTTTTGAGCCTGCTTTTCTTTTTGGATTTGCTTCCATAGCCTTTGTCCAACCAAGAACAATCTACAAGGCAGCGGTTGTTTAATTTTGGAGTTGTCTCTCCTAGAAGAGTGGCTGTCCCCATCTAACGAGCCTCATCTGCCCGAGGGTTCGAACTCGAGACTTTTCGGTTTAGCAACCATTAGCTTTACCGACTCGACCACGCCGAGTAAACTGTGGTTGTCACAACAAACTTGAAACACACGTCAATTTGAACTTGACTACATTAGAATTTCATAGAGTGACTAAATCAACTAACAATTCATCCTATCAGAGTGTCCTTGATTCAATGATACATATAAAAAGCCTGAGATCTACCTAACAACTAGAGTATAGGCATAGGCAATGATTGTATAGGAGGTCAGCCATACCAACCTGGGGGAATCAGTGGCTCTGGTAGTTTCCTGAAGAAAGATTTCAAAAGGCTGCTGATCACATTAATGTCCAGCAATTTCTCATTGTCAATGTTGACACTGTCAATGCCACGATTAAACTCCTCAGTCAAGGCATTGACAGCAGCCGAGTTTCCTGGCACACGATAGACACCCACCACCTCCAGGCCTCGGGCTTCAACAATCCTTGTACACAGTTCAACAATCAGCGGGACATACTGAGGACATAAGGACATAGTTCAACAATCAGCGGGACATACTGAGGACATAAGGATGTAGTTCAACAATCAGCGGGACATACTGAGGACATAGTTCAACAATCAGCAGGACATACTGAGGACATAAGGACGTAGTTCAACAATCAGCGGGACATACTGAGGACATAAGGATGTAGTTCAACAATCAGTAGGACATACTGAGGACATAGTTCAACAATCAGCAGGACATACTGAGGACATAAGAACATAGTTCAACAATCAGTGGGACATACTGAGGACATAGTTCAACAATCAGCGGGACATACTGAGGACATAAGGACATGGTTCAACAATCAGCGGGACATACTGAGGACATAAGGATGTAGTTCAACAATCAGCGGGACATACTGAGGACATAAGGATGTAGTTCAACAATCAGCGGGACATACTGAGGACATAGTTCAACAATCAGCAGGACATACTGAGGACATAAGGACGTAGTTCAACAATCAGCGGGACATACTGAGGACATAAGGATGTAGTTCAACAATCAGTAGGACATACTGAGGACATAGTTCAACAATCAGCAGGACATACTGAGGACATAAGAACATAGTTCAACAATCAGTGGGACATACTGAGGACATAGTTCAACAATCAGCAGGACATACTGAGGACATAAGGACATAGTTCAACAATCAGCGGGACATACTGAGGACATAAGGACATAGTTCAACAATCAGCGGGACATACTGAGGACATAAGGACAAAGTCAAAGAATCAGCGGGACATACTGAGGACATAGTTCAACAATCAGCAGGACATACTGAGGACATAGTTCAACAATCAGCAGGACATACTTAGGACATAAGGACATAGTTCAACAATCAGTGGGACATACTGAGGACATAGTTCAACAATCAGCGGGACATACTGAGGACATAAGGACATAGTTCTACAATCAGTGGGACATACTGAGGACATAAGGACAAAGTCAAAGAATCAGCGGGACATACTGAGAACAGAGTTCAACAATCAGTGGAATTGACTTTTTATTTAAGGTGTAGAGAAATAAAATGTGTAAACACATGTGTAGAGAAAGACTCACCTCATTGTGTGGAGAGGGGAAGCAGTCCTCAAGGTGTACACCAAACTGCATTTTGTCAATGTCCTGCTCACTCAGAGAACTCAAGCTGGATTCTTCATTGTGCTTCTTCAAACTTTTCATCATTGGAATTCTTCCTATCCAACCTTTCTTCAAACTTTCCTCTGGTATCGAAACAAACAAATCAATGTTTATCAAATGACAACAGTTAACATACAATCACATGGCAGACAGGCTAAACAATAGGCCACAAAATACATAACTGGCCAATTAAGTGTGCTTATACTTATACACAGCTGGCCATTTAACTATACTCATCTATCCAGTAGAGTGGGACGGCTGGCCATTTAACTATACTTATCTATCCAGTAGAGTGGGACAGCTGGCCATTTAACTATACTCATCTATCCAGTAGAGTGGGACAGCTGGCCATTTAACTATACACATCTATCCAGTAGAGTGGGACAGCTGGCCATTTAACTATACTCATCTATCCAGTAGAGTGGGACAGCTGGCCATTTAACTATACACATCTATCCAGTAGAGTGGGACAGCTGGCCATTTAACTACACTCATCTATCCAGTAGAGTGGGAAAGCTGGCCATTTAACTACAATCATCTATCCAGTAGAGTGGGACAGCTGGCCATTTAACTATACTCATCTATCCAGTAGAGTGGGACAGCTGACCATTTAACTATACACATCTATCCAGTAGAGTGGGACAGCTGGCCATTTAACTATACTCATCTATCCAGTAGAGTGGGACAGCTGGCCATTTAACTATACTCATCTATCCAGTAGAGTGGGACAGCTGGCCATTTAACTATACTCATCTATCCAGTAGAGTGGGACAGCTGGCCATTTAACTATACTCATCTATCCAGTAGAGTGGGACAGCTGGCCATTTAACTATACTCATCTATCCAGTAGAGTGGGACAGCTGACCATTTAACTATACACATCTATCCAGTAGAGTGGGACAGCTGGCCATTTAACTATACTCATCTATCCAGCAGAGTGGGACAGCCTACCTTTATCTTTCTCGGAGGCGTTGGATTTCTTCCTTCTCATGCTTGGAGAAGACGAGAGTTTAGCCTTGAAGGAAAGGGCAGATAACTTCTTTCCTTTATGGCCCAGCTGTGGTGACATCTTGCTACTGGGAAGGATTTCTATTGGAACATGTTTCTCTCTCTCTGAGGCAATCATTTCTTCCTGTAAACATGGACATTCATTTATCATTTAGACATTCATTTATCATTTCTACATATATCTCAGAAATTCATTATCATTTCTCCATATATCCCAGAAATACATTTATCATTTCTCCCTATATCCCAAAAATCTTTCTAGCCATCAACTCAGCTCTTCAAAAAAGAAAAAAAGCAGGACAAAAAACGTGATTGTAAACCGAGGCTCACCATTTTCTCTGCCTTATCAGGTTCATTGATAGACTTGATGGCTTGTATCCAGCACAGCATGGTGCCCCTGTCTTCTGTTTGGAAGAGATACTCACACTCGTGATGGGTAGTCACACGAAAAACATTCTTCTTTTTCTTGGCATAGTCCCTAGCAAACTCCACAATGCAGGACTTCATAGGTATATGCTGCTCTTCATAGTAGTTGGAGGACTGAAACAGTGGCAAAATGGACTGTTTACAAAGCAGTTGGAGGACTGAAACAGTGGCAAAATGGATTGTTTACAAAGCAGTTGGAGGACTGAAACAGTGGCAAAATGGACTGTTTACAAAGCAGTTGGAGGACTGAAACAGTGGCAAAATGGATTGTTTACAAAGCAGTTGGAGGACTGAAACAGTGGCAAAATGGACTGTTTACAAAGCAGTTGGAGGACTGAAACAGTGGCAACATTACGGAGGGTGAACTTGAAACATAAATAGTATTCAAAACTTATTTTATTGTTCTTGACAGTGCCTCCCTTTCCCCCCGCCCCCTTCTCCCCACAAGTAAATAGATTTTGAACATTGTCAGATGAACTCACCGAACTAGACTCACGGGTGAGAGATAGCTCTGTCTGCTTTAGCACAGCATACACAGACTTCCATGATCTATCACTACATTTCTGTCAAAAAAAAATCATGTTTTAGAAACAGGTCTATGAGTCACAGAGACAGTAGTATAAAGAACATTTAAGCACACCCACTAGATACAAGTTTTTCTAATTGTCTACTAGAATTTAATAAAAGGAGACTGACTTTGCCTTCGATGACAGAAACTTTACAGGACAATGGCCCTTTTCGTATGACCTCAGGCACTTCCTCATGTTCAGGGATCTTTTGTTCTATGCCTTCAGCAATGGTGGGGATCTACAAGACAAAATACATAAGTCAGAAACATCAATGGTGGGGATCTACAAGACAAAATACATAAGTCAGATACATCAATGGTGGGGATCTACAAGACAAAATACATAAGTCAGAAACATCAACAACAAAGGTACATACCGTTTCACCAAAAAACTTGTTCAGTTTGACTGAGTTTTGATGCTTTATGCTTTCACCAGAAACTCTGTAGACAGAAGACAATCATAATTAGACTGCTGGAATAAAACAATCATTAGCCATAGGCTGGCAACTTACTGAGGCCTGTGTAAACATTACTAGCTATTGTTAAGACTGACAACTTACTGAGGCCTGTGTAAACATCACTAGCTATTGTTAAGACTTACCTTACTGAGGCCTGTGTAAACACTATTGTTAAGACTGACAACTTACTGAGGCCTGTGTAAACATCACTAGCTATTGTTAAGACTGAAAACTTACTGAGGCCTGTGTAAACACTATTGTTAAGACTGACAACTTACTGAGGCATGTGTAAACACTATTGTTAAGACTGACAACTTACTGAGGCCTGTGTAAACACTATTGTTAAGACTGACAACTTACTGAGGCCTGTGGTCTGTTACAAGCTGGGGCTGGCTCGAGAAAGCTTTTTCTATTGGGACGGCATTTGTACGGTCTCTAGCTGTAGCCATCAAATACGATGTGCGTCTGTGCAGTTTGTTGGCCTGATCCTCCGTAGTATCTGCAAGGTCAATCAGTTCCAACATCAGATAGGTAAGGAAAATGTTCTCACTCAGACATCAATAGATGAGAATAACACTAGCTCATTTATAAAAGGTGTGCAAACTTTGAAGCTAGTTTACAAAATAAATGCGGGTCTTTTTAAATGATTGTGCTACAAGTTAAAAGGTAGATAAAATGAATGTAAATATGGCATGTTTTAATTCATGCTGTATAATATAAGGTGATAAAACTATAGCTTTCAGTGGGATCCTTTAATATAATTCCAGCAGAAATTATTAATAATTTTAGTTTTCATTGCACTCAGATGATAAAAAATGTGACAACTGTCTCATCAATAGACAAACAAGACACACCTGGAAATTTTTTCCTCATTGTGACTGAGATACTTCCATTAGAGTAGGCTGGACTTGGCTGTCCCAACATAACACAACTATCACTGGAAGACATTACTGGGGAGAAACAAATGGAGAGATTCAGTACACACACATCAGCTTAGGACTTACTTTTGGCAACATAGCACTCAGAATGTGCAGACTATTGCATAACACAGCTATTTGTACAATTTTTGAAAGTTGTAAATATTACATAAGTTGGTAACTCCACAAGAAAATATTACATGAATACAAGAATAACTCTGATGTAAACAATTAATTAAATAAATTACCTGTGGGTGCAACACTTGCTATAGGAAGATTGCTAATGCCTACAGAGCTTAGACTGTGGGAGGAGCCTATAGAAAATGGGCGTGTCTGAAGTGAAGCAGGATGTAAACTAGTGGAAGACTGGTTGCTAGGGTAAGGCAAAGATTGAGCTGGCAATTGTTGTTGAACCTGAACCAAGCTGGTTCCTACAGGAGAGTCTGTAGTGCCTGCAAGTGGTAGGTAGAGGAATCATCATAACATTAGTTTCATTGGGGGGGGGGGGGGGGGGGGGGAAGGAGACATTAATAGTTTGATTTATCAAGAAATTCCTAATGGATAAAATATGTTGAACTTACTTCGTTGTTGAGGGGCATTGACAGCTGAAAGGTAGGAACTCTTGCGTGCGGGTTTAGAAAGCCTGACACTGGGTAGATCGACATCAGAACTAGTCTCTACTGAATAGACAGAGCTGGCCCCAGCATTTCCTTCAATGGCTCCATCCAACATGTCTGAACTGCCGTGGTAACTTTTGAGGGACACCCCAGAGTCAGCTAGAGTACTCTCACTGGTGTGGCTGGTCATGGACTGGTCACAGCCTACAGACTTGAGCATGGCATGGCTGGACATGGACTGGTCACTTGGCTTGACCTCCTGCACACAATCTCTTCCTTGTTTCTCCTCTAGGAATAAAACCTCGTCCAGAGGAGAGGAGGACTTGGTGCTGCATGGAGACATGACAATCTTAATGGGGAGAGAATCCTGGTATTGGCTACTCTCTGTTACATCCCCTGGCTGGAGTTGACTCGTGTATCTTTCTGAAGAAATCTTTCTAACCTGTATAACACCAAGAAGGAAATCTAACTGAATTAAGAGAATTAAACGTAAGACATTTCTGGACAACTAATTTAAACTAACACCATATTTTATCAGTGACTCATAATGGTCAAATTTGGCTGGGTATGTAAAACAAATGTACTGACCTTGATAGTGGGCTGTGAGGCATCAGTTCCACTGTAGTCTGCAGGTGACAGCACATCTACAGGGTCATTGAACCCAGGGGGATCCCGTTCTGGAGATTGTTCAAAGCTTGCTTTACGCATAGCAATACTAGAAAACTTGGGCTGAGTTCTTATTTTTTCTATCTCTGTTTTATATCTGTTGTAGCCCCCATTGCTGGGTGGGGGGGTGTTTTCATGTTTCCCAGACTCAAACTGGAACTTGCGCTGTGAGACTATAGGCTTGCCAATGGATTTCTGGATCTCAATGTGTGTGGCTGTAGGGGAGTGGGTCAGGGCAAAGGTCGTGCCAAACCTCTGACCAGCCTCTGCTTTTTTAGGCTCATATGGAATGCGTACAACTAAAGTTTGAGATCTTGAGTCAATCTGAGTGGCGGGGTAGTTGCCAGTGTTGCCAGTGTAGACACTGACCCCCCTCTTGTCCGAGGTGGTGGAGAAGACAGGGATGTAGTGGCGAGACCTGTCTTCTGTTTTCTTTGCTTCATCTGCCGGACCAGCACTCCTGGGCTGGGTAGGTGAGATGGCAGATAAAGTCTGGGAGCGGGATATAATGTATGTTGGACGACTTTCATTTGAATATCTTTCATAAACAGAGTGTCTAGGGGAGTAGCGGTTGCGGTGGTCACTGGCAGCTTTGTCAGATGAATATTTAATGAAAAAATCCCGAGACTTGGCAGAAGATGAAAGAGCTGAGCTCTCATCAAAGGAAGTCTTCCTGTAGCTGTACACCGGCTGCCTCAGCTCAAAAGTCTGGGGCTCAGAGGAATCCTCGTAACCCCTGCTTAAACTCTCCGCACTTATTGTGCGACTACTGCCACTACTTCCTGTTGTTGCGGATGTGGATTTGGGAGGAAAATAGAGGCCGAAGGAGTATTTAGATTTTCCTGGTGCAGTGGAAGACACACTTGATCCTGACTCCTGGCGATGAGAACATTTCAAGTCAATTGATAGCATTTAGCAATCATTCATTCTGGTTTAGTAAGATAATCTGTAACTTTTTGTCTGGCTTGTGTTGGACTGGTATAGTCAAATAGTGTGTTCCTTTAGGTGTGGCCAAGTCAGTCCTTGCTTAATCTAGCACAACAAAATTCAGTTCTCTGAATTCATGGATGTGACAGCTTGTTGTGTAGCTACCTCTACCAATGTTGTGTGTGATAAGTGTAGCTACCAATGTTGTGTGTGATAAGTGTAGCTACCAATGTTGTGTGTGATAAGTGTAGCTACCAATGTTGTGTGTGATAAGTGTAGCTACCAATGTTGTGTGTGATAAGTGTAGCTACCAATGTTGTGTGTGATAAGTGTAGCTACCAATGTTGTGTGTGATAAGTGTAGCTACCAATGTTGTGTGTGATAAGTGTAGCTACCAATGTTGTGTGTGATAAGTGTAGCTACCAATGTTGTGTGTGATAAGTGTAGCTACCAATGTTGTGTGATAAGTGTAGCTACCTCTATCAATATTTATGATAAGTGTAGCTACCAATGTTGTGTGTGATAAGTGTAGCTACCTCTACCAATGTTGTGTGATAAGTGTAGCTACCAATGTTGTGTGTGATAAGTGTAGCTACCAATGTTGTGTGTGATACGTGTAGCTACCAATGTTGTGTGTGATACGTGTAGCTACCAATGTTGTGTGTGATAAGTGTAGCTACCAATGTTGTGTGTGATAAGTGTAGCTATCAATGGTGTGTGTGATAAGTGTAGCTACCAATGTTGTGTGACAAGTGTAGCTACCTCTACCAATGTTGTGTGTGATAAGTGTAGCTACCAATGTTGTGTGTGATAAGTGTAGCTACCAATGTTGTGTGTGATAAGTGTAGCTACCTCTACCAATGTTGTGTGTGATAAGTGTAGCTACCAATGTTGTGTGTGATAAGTGTAGCTACCAATGTTGTGTGTGATAAGTGTAGCTACCAATGTGTGTGATAAGTGTAGCTACCTCTACCAATGTTGTGTGTGATAAGTGTAGCTACCAATGTTGTGTGTGATAAGTGTAGCTACCAATGTGTGTGATAAGTGTAGCTACCTCTACCAATGTTGTGTGTGATAAGTGTAGCTACCAATGTTGTGTGTGATAAGTGTAGCTACCAATGTGTGTGATAAGTGTAGCTACCTCTACCAATGTTGTGTGTGATAAGTGTAGCTACCAATGTTGTATGTGAGTAGTGTATCTAGCAATGTTGTATGTGTGACACGCATAACTACCTGTGCCAATGCTGTTTTTGACAGGTGTAACTGCCTATGTTAGGTGTGACAGGTGTAACTGCCAATGTTAGGTGTGACAGGTGTATCTACCAATGCTGTCAACAAATAAAAGAGGACACTTCCCCCAATCTTACCTGAACCAGCATGGTCTGTGTCCTGGGCTGGTGGTAGATATAACCCCTGCCAGGTGCCTGATCAGCTGGCTGGGACATGCTGCTGTAATTTAGATCATTCAGTGAAGACCCGCTGCTGAAACATTGGAGCCACATTACTCCTCAACATTACTTGAGTTTTCTTTCATAAACATTTTTATAGTGCATTGTTTCTCATCACATTAATAACAACTCTGGTGCAGAAATGTGTCAGCAAAAATTTGGGTGAGTAAAGGCAAGTGTAGTCTATTGTTTTGTTTGATTAATGTCAAGTCTAGGCTGTTGATTTGGGTGAGTAAAGGCAGGTCTAGTCTGTTGATTTGGGTGAGTAAAGGCAAGTCTAGTCTGTTGATTTGGGTGAGTAAAGGCAGGTCTAGTCTGTTGATTTGGGTGAGTAAAGGCAAGTCTAGTCTGTTGATTTGGGTGAGTAAAGGCAAGTCTAGTCTGTTGATTTGGGTGAGTAAAGGCAGGTCTAGTCTGTTGATTTGGGTGAGTAAAGGCAGGTCTAGTCTGTTGATTTGGGTGAGTAAAGGCAAGTCTAGTCTGTTGATTTGGGTGAGTAAAGGCAAGTCTAGTCTGTTGATTTGGGTGAGTAAAGGCAAGTCTAGTCTGTTGATTTGGGTGAGTAAAGGCAAGTCTAGTCTGTTGATTTGGGTGAGTAAAGGCAAATACCTGAAATCTGTTGATTCAGATGGCCATTGGCTAGAGGGAAAAGAATGACGAACATCATGGCGTCCATATGACAGAGTTTCATTTGAGCTGAAGCGACTGCTGGGGTCCAGAAATCCATGTGTTATGTCACTAGAGCTACAACAAATAAAAATAAAATCATCCACGTCAACTAGAAAAACTTGACATTGATAACCTACAACTTGACTGGTTTTAGACACACCATATACATAACTGACCACCTAAACAGAGAATTTTTATTTAACTGAAAGTGCATGATAATGTCAGAACAAACCTATGACAGCTCTAATGTCAGGACAAACCAATGTCAGCTCTAATGTCAGGACAAACCTATGACATCTCTAATGTCAGGACAAATCAATGTCAGCTCTAATGTCAGGACAAACCAATGTCAGCTCTAATGTCAGGACAAACCAATGTCAGCTCTAATGTCAGAACAAACCTATGACATCTCTAATGTCAGAACATACCAATGTCAGCTCTAATGTCAGGACAAACCAATGTCAGCTCTAATGTCAGGACAAACCAATGTCAGCTCTAATGTCAGAACAAACCAATGTCAGCTCTAATGTCAGGACAAACCAATGTCAGCTCTAATGTCAGGACAAACCTATGACATCTCTAATGTCAGAACAAACCTATGACATCTCTAATGTCAGGACAAATCAATGTCAGCTCTAATGTCAGGACAAACCTATGATAACCCTAAAGTATAACAAATCTATGACATCTCTAATGTATAACAAACCTATGACAGCCCTAATGTATAACAAACCTATGACATGCTCTTATGTATAACAAACCTATGACTATGCTGGTGTGTGACAGCTGACAGTCTGGAGTTGTCAGACAGAGAGCTACTGCTGGAGTACATTGAGTCCCCTGTTTGGGATTGGTAGGCCTAGAGATTTAGAGAAAAAAAAATAGAAAAACATTATTAACACCTCAACATAATAGCAGAAAACAACTGTTTGCTGCACTATATAAAAGATAAGTATCCTTTTGACAAGATGTGCCAGATGCAGTAGAGTTTGAATCTGTGACCACAACATTGAATGGATGGTGATGTTTGTTACTAAGCCTTGATATTTTGCCACGAAACCCATAAGAGCTTAGAATATTCCAGAAGGAACAGGCATTAGAAACCTTACAAACAAGTGACTCTAGTCTTACAGCAAAACATAGGTTCACAAAGATTAAAAAACAAACGCGAAGCTGAGTTAAGAAAAACGTGGTAAAAAAGCTTTAGTTCTGAAGGTGAGGAACAAGAAAAGATGATCTTACCATCTGTAGTATATCCTCATCTTTAGGGACTACCAGGAGCTTTAAAGTCTGGCTGCTGGAATAGATCAAATTAAAGTTATAGGAGCTTTAAAGTCTGGCTGCTGGAATAGATCAAATTAAAGTTATAGGAGCTTTAAAGTCTGGCTGCTGGAATAGATCAAATTAAACTTATAGGAGCTTTAAAGTCTGGCTGCTGGAATAGATCAAATTAAAGTTAGAGGAACTTTAAAGTCTGGCTGCTGGAATAGATCAAATTAAAGTTATAGGAGCTTTAAAGTCTGGCTGCTGGAATAGATCAAATTAAAGTTAGAGGAACTTTAAAGTCTGGCTGCAGGAATAGATCAAATTAAAGTTATAGGAGCTTGGCTATAGCCTGGCTATAGTGTCAACTAACCTGGCTATAGTGTCAACTATCCTGGCTATAGTGTCAACTATCCTGGCTATAGTGTCAACTATCCTGGCTATAGTGTCAACTATCCTGGCTATAGTGTCAACTATCCTGGCTATAGTGTCAACTATCCTGGCTATAGTGTCAACTATCCTGGCTATAGTGTCAACTATCCTGGCTATAGAGTCAACTATCCTGGCTATAGTGTCAACTATCCTGGCTATAGTGTCAACTATCCTGGCTATAGTGTCAACTATCCCGGCTATACACACAGCCTGGCTAAATATCGAACAAGTTTGACAAGACTCACCAACCAAAAGGTTTCTTACCTCTGGTGTATGGCAGCTATAACATTCTTGTATGACTTGCCAGCTATGGACTCCCCATTGACTGCAATAATACGGTCTCCTGTGTTCAGTCCTGCATACTCTGCAGGACTTCCTTCTTTCACACTCTTGACAAATATTGTGTCCTGTGGCTCTAGGCTCAACTCTCTACACAATCTTGGACAGGAATCTTTTGGACAAAAAAAGGTTGTTAAATTGTGTCCTGTGGCTCTAGGCTCAACTCTCTACACAATCTTGGAAAAGAATATATTGGACAAAAAAAAAGGCCCCTGATTTTTTAAGGTACCTCAAATTAAGACGACTTTATCCTACATTGAAAAAAAAATTATTTATCGTACAATAAAATATTTTATACAGTAATAAGTAAAAAGCTGTTTATAATTTATGAAATATAATTTAATACATACCATTAGATTTGTTGCATTCTTCATCATCCTGCAAAATATAATGATCAAATCATTGACACCCACACAAGAATAAATAAACATATATTGTAAATTAAAAAATATCTATCAATCTTCATATATATATATATATATATATATATATATATATATATATATATATATATATATATATATATATATATATATATATATATATATATATATATATATATATTCCAATGAGGTTGAGGAAAGGGAAGTAACTGATCCCCCTTGACCCCTGTGCAGGGGCTATTACCTTCAATATGAACTTAGCCTAACTGAGTGTGACAATACTATAGAGAATAAAGAATGAACTCACCCTGGGATACACGGACTGTGGGGGGTAGACCACAAAATGGCGCAATGTAAAACCAAAGCCTCCTTCTGCTCTATGTATGACCACAGCATGTGGGCCAGACCAGTCTAATACACTACTGCTGCTAAGTCTGGGTTCCTGAAATTTAAAAAATCAATATGATTTACAGATCAATGATTTACTGATGGCCAATCATCAAGGTTTACAGATGGCCAATCAATATGATTTAATGATGGCCAATCATTAAGATTTACAGATCAATATGCTTTACTGATGACCAATCATTAAAGTCTACAGATGGCCAATCAATGTGATTTAAATATGGCCAATGATCAAGATTTACAGATCAATATGATTTACTGAAGGCCAATCATTAAAGTCTACAGATGACCAATCAATGTGATTTAATGATGGCCAATGATCAAGATTTACTAACGTTCATTTATCAAAATAAAATCATTATCTTAAAAATAAAACAAATTTAAAAAATAGAAATCCAATATTGACCTTTACTACAGGTACAAGTATTGAAACAAACAAGACATTTAACAAAACAAACAACACATGACCTTCACAGACTCAGGTCTGTCACAAATCCTAGGTTATGGCATGATGTTAGAACTGGATGTTACAGTACACAATGATGCTTCAGTATTAGTTGATGTTACAGTATAGTTGGATGTTACAGTACAGTTGGATGTTACAGTATAGTTGGATGTTACAGTATAGTTAAATGTTACAGTATAGTTGGATGCTACTGGATGTTACAGTATAGTAGGATGTTACAGTACAGTTGGATGTTACAGTATAGTTAAATGTTACAGTATAGTTGGATGCTACTGGATGTTACAGTATAGTAGGATGTTACAGTACAGTTGGATGTTACAGTATAGTAGGATGTTACAGTATAGTTGGATGCTACTGGATGTTACAGTATAGTAGGATGTTATAGTACAGCTTGATGTTACAGTACAGTTGGATGTTACAGTACAGTTGGATGTTACAGTACATTATGATGTAACAGTACAGTATGATGTTAAAAGTAGTTGGATGTTACAATAGAATAATATACTAGAAAATGAATCTGTATATGAGCCCAACAAAGTAGGATAAGTATGGAATAGAGGATGTATAGCTTAAAATAGGATGTGAATGTGTATGGAATAGAGGTTGTATAGCTTAAAATAGGATGTGAATGTGTATGGAATAGAGGTTGTATAGCTTAAAATAGGATGTGAATATGTATGGAATAGAGGATGTATAGGTTAAAATAGGATGTGAATGTGTATGGAATAGAGGTTGTATAGCTTAAAATAGGATGTGAATGTGTATGGAATAGAGGATGTATAGCTTAAAATAGGATGTAAATGTGTATGGAATAAAGGATGAATAGCTTAAAATAGGATGTGAATGTGTATGGAATAGAGGATGTATAGCTTAAAATAGGATGTGAATATGTATGGAATATAGGATGTATAGCTTAAAATAGCATGTGAATATGTATGGAATAGAGGATGTATAGGTTAAAATAGGATGTAAATATGTATGAAATAAAGTATGTATAGCTTAAAATAGGATGTGAATGTGTATGGAATAGAGGATGTATAGCTTAAAATAGGATGTGAATGTGTATGGAATAGAGGATGTATAGCTTAAAATAGGATGTGAATATGTATGGAATAGAGGATGTATAGCTTAAAATAGGATGTGAATATGTATGGAATAGAGGATGTATAGCTTAAAATAGGATGTGAATATGTATGGAATAGAGGATGTATAGCTTAAAATAGGATGTGAATATGTATGGAATAGAGGATGTATAGCTTAAAATAGGATGTGAATGTGTATGGAATAGAGGATGTATAGCTTAAAATAGGATGTAAATGTGTATGGAATAGAGGATGTATAGCTTAAAATAGGATGTGAATATGTATGGAATAGGGGATGTATAGCTTAAAATAGGATGTGAATATGTATGGAATATAGGATGTATAGCTTAAAATAGGATGTGAATGTGTATGGAATATAGGATGTATAGCTTAAAATAGGATGTGAATATGTATGGAATAGGGGATGTATAGCTTAAAATAGGATGTGAATATGTATGGAATATAGGATGTATAGCTTAAAATAGGATGTGAATATGTATGGAATAGAGGATGTATAGCTTAAAATAGGATGTAAATGTGTATGGAATAGAGGATGTATAGCTTAAAATAGGATGTAAATGTGTATGGAATAGAGGTTGAATAGCTTAAAATAGGATGTGAATGTGTATGGAATATAGGATGTATAGCTTAAAATAGGATGTGAATATGTATGGAATAGAGGTTGTATAGCTTAAAATAGGATGTGAATATGTATGGAATAGAGGATGTATAGCTTAAAATAGGATGTAAATGTGTATGGAATAGAGGTTGAATAGCTTAAAATAGGATGTGAATGTGTATGGAATATAGGATGTATAGCTTAAAATAGGATGTGAATATGTATGGAATAGAGGTTGAATAGCTTAAAATAGGATGTGAATATGTATGGAATATAGGATGTATAGCTTAAAATAGGATGTGAATATGTATGGAATAGATATATAGCCGCTGCACTGAAAGAGTTTGCTGCAATATGTAGGGGACCAGCTGTTTCTACACTGCCGCTAAACCAGCAATGGGGGACAGGGGGGGGGGGGGAGCGACTGAAAGCAGGGTCACACAACAAGTGACGTTTTTTTCACTGAGTTCTTTAACATATAATTCTTAGGTTACATCAACGGATTGCTAAGGTTTTTTTTTATAGCCCGCCAGAAAATGAAATCACTTCAAACAGCCATACACACGTGCTGTCGTCGGCAAGATTTCTTGGAAAAAACAAATGTCTTCTGATACAGTCAAACACACGTACTGTCGTCGGCAAGATTTCTTGGAAAAAACAAATGTCTTCTAGTACAGTCAAACACTGTCGTCGGCAAGATTTCTTGGAAAAAACAAATGTCTTCTGATACAGTCAAACATACGTACTGTCGTCGGCAAGATTTCTTGGGAAAAACAAATGTCTTCTGATACAGTCAAACATACGTACTGTCGTCGGCAAGATTTCTTGGAAAAAACAAATGTCTTCTAGTACAGCCAAACACACGTGCTGTCGTCGGCAAGATTTCTTGGAAAAAACAAATGTCTTCTAGTACAGCCAAACACACGTGCTGTCGTCGGCAAGATTTCTTGGAAAAAACAAATGTCTTCTGTTACAGCCAAACACACGTGCTGTCGTCGGCAAGATTTCTTGGAAAAAACAAATGTCTTCTAGTACAGTCAAACACTGTCGTCGGCAAGATTTCTTGGAAAAAACAAATGTCTTCTAGTACAGCCAAACACACGTGCTGTCGTCGGCAAGATTTCTTGGAAAAAACAAATGTCTTCTAGTACAGCCAAACACACGTGCTGTCGTCGGCAAGATTTCTTGGAAAAAACAAATGTCTTCTGTTACAGCCAAACACACGTGCTGTCGTCGGCAAGATTTCTTGGAAAAAACAAATGTCTTCTAGTACAGTCAAACACTGTCGTCGGCAAGATTTCTTGGAAAAAACAAATGTCTTCTAGTACAGCCAAACACACGTGCTGTCGTCGGCAAGATTTCTTGGAAAAAACAAATGTCTTCTGTTACAGCCAAACACACGTGCTGTCGTCGGCAAGATTTCTTGGAAAAAACAAATGTCTTCTGTTACAGCCAAACATACGTACTGTCGTCGGCAAGATTTCTTGGAAAAAACAAATGTCTTCTAGTACAGTCAAACACTGTCGTCTGCAAGATTTCTTGGAATTACACGGACTGAAGTCGCCTGATTAAAAAAAACAAAACTGGTTGCAAATAGCTGGACGAGGCAACTAAGAACCTGAACATTCGTTACAAATGTAAGTAACAGTCAATTCAAATGAACGAATTTTACTAAATTCAAATGTGTGGTGTCAAATGAACGAATTTTACTAGATTTAAATGGGTGGTGTCAAATGAACGAATTTTACTAGATTTAAATGTGTGGTGTCAAATGAAAGAATTTTACTAGATTTAAATGGGTGGTGTCAAATGAACAAATTTTACTAGATTTAAATGTGTGGTGTCAAATGAACGAATTTTACTAGATTTAAATGGGTGGTGTCAAATGAACGAATTTTACTAGATTTAAATGTGTGGTGTCAAATGAAAGAATTTTACTAGATTTAAATGGGTGGTGTCAAATGAACAAATTTTACTAGATTTAAATGTGTGGTGTCAAATGAACGAATTTTACTAGATTTAAATGGGTGGTGTCAAATGAACGAATTTTACTAGATTTAAATGTGTGGTGTCAAATGAAAGAATTTTACTAGATTTAAATGGGTGGTGTCAAATGAACAAATTTTACTAGATTTAAATGTGTGGTGTCAAATGAACGAATTTTACTAGATTTAAATGGGTGGTGTCAAATGAACGAATTTTACTAGATTTAAATGGGTGGTGTCAAATGAACGAATTTTACTAGATTTAAATGTGTGGTGTCAAATGAACAAATTTTACTAGATTTAAATGTGTGGTGTCAAATGAACGAATTTTACTAGATTTAAATGTGTGGTGTCAAATGAACGAATTTTACTAAATTTAAATGTGTGGTGTCAAATGAACGAATTTTACTAAATTTAAATGTGTGGTGTCAAATGAACGAATTTTACTAGATTTAAATGTGTGGTGTCAAATGAACGAATTTTACTAGATTTAAATGGGTGGTGTCAAATGAACGAATTTTACTAGATTTAAATGTGTGGTGTCAAATGAACAAATTTTACTAGATTTAAATGTGTGGTGTCAAATGAACGAATTTTACTAGATTTAAATGTGTGGTGTCAAATGAACATCTGAACTGAAAATGTACATTTGGACATGTAGTGTAGGCCACCCCGACAATAGCATACAATAGTATTACAATAGTATTACAATAGCATACAATAGTATTACAATAGTATTACATAGATATTTGACCGTTTGCAACCATATGGAACCTTACACATACCGACATACAAGTATTACATAGATATTTGACCGTTTATAACCTGTGGAGCCTTACACATACCGACATACAAGTATTACATAGATATCTGACCGTTTATAAA